GCAATGCTCCTGTAGAGAGAAGAAAAAAGAAAAATCTGATAAAATTGAAATGTTGGAACATTGCTTGCTTTGCTAGGATGTGACTATTTTTAAGACCTAGTTTCCTGGACAGGGAATTGTTCATTAAACATGAAGTACTGCATCTTTAATCAGCTGACTAACCTGAGTCACTAAGGGTCTAAACTCTGTACTTGCTCATCAAGGCACAACAATAAAAGGGATACCTGTCTATGTACTTGACACTGCTGACAAATCTGCATATTTATAAACTACTAAGTTTACAAGGAAATGGTTTGTTTTCACCTTCTCCTGTTGTATGCCAATAAACATACATCACAGCTTATCAGAGATGACTACAGCTTTACAAAAGACAAAGCAACCATCCCATTTCTGATGTCAGCCCTCTGCAAGATGGAAGTTATTCCAGGACAAAATCCATGTCCAAATAGCATTCCCTGAATGCATTTGTTTGCAAGACCAGAACACACATGCAGTTAGCAAAACGTGGAACACTCAGTATGCACATTTGTTCAGAAGGCAATAGAATTCCATCATTACTGCCTGATTAGTACCCAATTTTCTGATAGTTTTAACTGTTACTACTGCTAGTATAAAAAGCCAAACTATACTGGTTTATTTGTGTTCTGGCTCCCCCTCTGTGGAGTGAGGAAGGCCTCAAAAGCCAGGGTCCTGCCATCCGACCTATGTGACCTATGGATGGCACAATCCCCTGGTGTGACAGAACAGGAGGCTGACTACACCCATAGAGTCTCTGCAGCAGAACCAAAAAACACTGCATCTGCTTGACAGAATCTGTAATCTTCCAGGACTTCATAAGTTCAATAAAAAAGTGAACAACAGTGCAGAAGCACAATGGGTACCTGGTGGGAGAGCTACTGAGAGACCTTAGAAAAGAACCTGGACACCAAACACGAAGTTCTCTGGGGAGCAAATAAATGGAAAAATAAAAGTAGCTCTGCTGTACAGCTTAGCTGTGGGAATATGGATACATAAACCACAGAGAGGTGAGCAGTTTCTCCAGCCTTCTGCTACTATGGGGAATTGGGAGGGAAAAAAAAAACCTATATGGCCACCTTAAACTGGCCATTTCAATGAACCCACAATGAACAACTTTCCACTGCATTCTTCCATTAGCCTGCCCAAAATGATGGCACCAAACAGAAGAATATTCCCAAACATGTCACTCACTTGATGATGTTGTCAGAAAGCACTAGACCCTCCAAGCTGAGGTTCTGCAGCTTTTCACACCGACAAAGAATACTGTGGAGATCTGCAGCAGACACTGTGCAGTTTGACAAATCCAGGTGCTGAATTTTAAGAAGACTAACAAAAAAAAAAAAAAAGTTACTAAAATTGCATTAAAACCTGCTTCATAAATTCCCCACATCACAAATACAGCCCATATAAAAAAGCAAGCACACCTTGCAGAAAATATTTCTACTAATTCTTCATAACACCTGAAAGTCTATCCTGCTGGAGTTAAATTATTTTTTTGAGTGTACCATGTAAAAATGCTGGGGATGATGATAATTTAGGCCTCTATAAGATACAAACTGCAAGGGCCTTATGGTGCTTGATATTTAAAAAAAAAAAAATTCACATCAACTTGGTTTTAAATAACTGAGAGGTGAGTGCAGATCCTCCTGTTTCAACACATGCCTAACCACCAATCAGCTCTTCCACGCTCCAGACACAGCACAAACACTGCTGCTGGTTGCTATTACCTTAAACCAAAACACCAAAAACACAGACTGAATATTTGTGACAATTTCAGGATCTAGAACATGCATAAAAAGCCTTACTTGCTTGTTTTAAACAACGGATCCCCTATGCAAGATCTCGGGCAGCGGAACACAGTAACACCTGCAGGCAACAACTGTCCAAGCACTCCTGGCAGCAGATTCCCACCAGTCAAATCAAGAGTCTGCCAGAGAGATTCATCAAATCTGTGGCATAGAATTTTACTTGTTAGTGAGTTCAAATGGGTAACAGGTCAAAGCTGTGAGTACAACCACAGAAAGTTTTTGGTGTCAAAAACAGACAGAGAAGGGAAAGCTATTTAACATTATAATAATGTTAAAAAACATGTGAGGTATCTTTTGGTTATACATACCCACATATGGTCTAAATTGAATTATATATGTATAAATGAGAACCAGACCATTTAATGGTCTACAGAAACAAAGATTTTCCTTAGTACTAAATGAAGAGAAATAATACTTACGAAAGTCGATGCCATCTCTTGCAAATCATAGAAACTTTCAGTAAATCCTTTAGGGGCAAATAGGCAAAGATTGCCAGAAGCAATTCATCTGGAAGTGCATCCAAATAAATACCTTTAGGGAAAGAGCAAAGCACATTCTAGTTAAAGCAACTTCATTTTTACGTGCTGGTCAGATGTCTTATTTCGTTTCGTTGTTAAAAGCCCCTCTACAGTTTCTCTGTAGGCTATACATCAGCCTACATCAGACATCAGCCCCACTGTTCACCTCCCTTGCAGCTCAACATTGTAGGATGGCATTTTTACATCTTTGCCTAGGCATGACTGGTAAATGTAAATGTTCCTGTAATATTCACTTTGTATACATAGTAAGGCCACGGACACTACTCACATACTCACTTGGGGAACAAGAGCATCTTAGTTACTGCCTTTGTAATCTAATGCTTATATAATTCTCTGGGGTTTTTTTTTTCCCTCTGCTGAAATGCCCACTCTTCCTATGCATACAAGGGTCCCAGAAGGGAGCTCAAGGTAAGCTATGCTTCTGTATGATACACAGGAAAAATCAGGGACTACAAACTGCTTCCTAAAACACACACGCTATCACCACTCCAAGAATTATGTGAAACAATGTGGTACAAATCACAGCTTCTCTCAAGCTCCAGAAGGTGTCATGATTCACATGGGAGATTTCTGGATGGTGGAGCTCAGTAACAGCTGTCTTTGACCCAGCACTGCATCTTATATAAAAACAGCAATGTCTGAAGGCATTTCCACCTTCTGTATGACAGCATACTATTAGGACAGAGCTGCTTATTTATTTTGCATCCCATACTCATCCAGACTACAACAACACTTTGACCCTTGGGAAAGGAACTAGTATTCTATAACACTCCTTTCAAGAGTCTAAGAGCCCTGCTCTTTCCCTTTCCAGCCCTGCAAGCTTCCACCCTTTGATGTGCTTATCCTGTAGTTCTCAGGCACAGTCCTTCACGTGCTGGGACATTGCTGGCATACCTCAGCCTGCAATCTTTACTTACCCTTCTCCTCCTGCCTCCAAACAGGTAACTTTTGGATTGACTTTGGTTTTAGACTGATTGATTTTTGCTTGTTTTTTCTCTGTGTGCTTTAACCACCTGGTAACTAGAGTGAATGTTGCCAACAAACTTTGTCACACTTTTGCTTTTACATTAAACCTACTTTTGCTGCTGATTCTTTGAGCGACCTTAAAACACTGACTCACAATACAGCCCAGCTGGGCCAAAGTGCCACCTATGTCCCACACACAAGAGCAAACAGGCACAGGGACATGCAGCACAACCCCCCAACACACACACACGGTGTTCACGGGGTTAGGCAGCAGAGAATCATGCTTTTCATAGGCCACAATTCCAGAGACAGACACACCACCCCAACTTAAAGGCACACATAAAATAGGATTTATCACCCCAAGCCTGAAAGCCACTAGATCTAAAAGTGACATTCTGCTGGGTAAGAGCAAAAGAACTAAACAATAAAGCAGGGCAGACTTGTCGTGCCCACTCTCCGTCTCTACCAAAGGGCAAGCAGAACCTGGCCCAGGGTGACAGTACCTGACTCTGCCTCTCGGAGCAGCCATGGCCGGCGCACGATAACAAAGTCCTTTTCGTTGTCCTTCACCTTCTGCCTTTTTGGAGGAAGACAGGACGACGACACCAGCAGGTCCTGTGGTGTGTTTTCATTGCCCAGCTTGTCTTTCTTAAGGGCTGACACTCCCATACCCGAGAGAAGCTCCGAGGTCTTGCCGGGGTCCCATTCCAAGCTGGTGGAAACATTAGCGCTAGAGGATGGGATCTCCTGGAGATGCTTTCTGCAGACACAGCAAAACCCAGAGGCTCTGAGGGTATTGCCAGGCTGACACCAAACACAGGATGGGGATCCTTGAAGCATTTCAGTCACTCGCACCCCACATCAATACCAAGGGCGACTAAGTGCGGGATCTGGCCGGGCGCTGGAAGCGCAAGCAGCGGCCGCGGCGCAGGCGTGTGCTCGGTCTGGCAGACTTTGGGGAAGAGCCCGCCAGGGATGGAGCGCGCCCCGCTCCCGGATGGGGCGGGCGAGGGATCGGGGAAGGGAGCCAATGGAGGCGGCGGGACACGGCAGCCTCCCAACACCACCAACCCGGGACACAGCCGCGACAGCAGCGGGCAGAGCCCTCGCACGGCGGGGCGGCAGCGCGGGCAGCGGGACGGGATGCCCGGGCGTGTGGGGGAAGCTCCCCCGGGGCTGCCGCCCGCCGCGGCCGGGACAGAGCCGGCAGCCCCCAGGGAGGACCCCCGCTCCCCCGGGACCACCTGCGTGGCCGCGCACACGTCTGATCCCGGCACCGCTCCCACGCCCTGGAGCTCCTTCCCGCTCCCCCGGGTCCCACACCCGCTCCCGGGGCTCCCCCGCGCAGCCCCTCAGCTACTCCCGCGCAGCGGGCCGCCCGAGAGCATCCGCGAGGGCTCACATGCAGCCCCGGCGCCAGGCGGCTCCCGCGCAGCCCAGCGGCGGTGCTCGCATCCCCGTGTCCCGGCGCATCCCCCTGTCCCGGTGTTCCCGTGCCCCCGCGCTCCCGTACCTGTACATGGCGCTGGGAGGCCCACGCGCGCCGCCGCGCGCCCCGCGCCTTTCAGCACCGCGCCATCCCGGCGCCGGCCGGAAGCCGCAGCGTGAGGGAGCGCAGAGCCTGCCGGGAGCTGTAGTTCATAGTCCTGTGCCCGCCCGGAGGCGGGGCCGTGCCCGGCCGGCGGCGGCGGGCGGCGAATGGCGGCGGCTCCGACGCGGAAGAAGCCGGGAGCGGCTGCCGCTCCTTGCGCCACGCTCTGAGCCCGGTGCCGGCCGGGATGGCGGACGGCGGAGCCCCGCGGGGGACGCGACGCTGAGCGGCGGCTCGACCGTGGTGAGACGGCGGCGGGCGGGACGCGAGGCCGGGCGGAGCGGGGCCGCAGTGCCGAGTCACGGCCGGGCCGTTCTCTTGAGCGGAGACGGGAGCTGGGTGGGAAGCGGCAGCTCCAGCGCGTCCCCTGTGACAAGGACGCGGAGGGAAGGATGGTCGCCGGGCAGTGCTGGGCGAGGGCGGTCGGCACCTTCGTTTCCAGGCGCTCATCCCGAGCATTGCCCGTCAGGCACCCCGAGCACGTAGGGCGCTGCTGGTTCCGTGTGCCCGGAGCTCGGTGCTGTGCCGCACAGGCCTGGCGCCGGCGAGCGCTGCCACATTCCACCGTGGAAGGTTTTCTCCGGGAACACCTGAAACTGGCCGTGTGTGGCTGGTGCTGACCCTCACCGCCGTCTTTTCACACCGTGTTTCACAGCCCGCGGGACTTTCAGCAATGCAGCTCTTCCTGCGTGTTTTTTTTTTTTTTTTTTCCCCAAACTGCTTGTTTTGAAATTGGTGGGGATGGAGAGCTAATTCTGAACACACCTACAGCCCCGCTCTTAGTCAACCACTTGCTTGCAAATGCTGTTCTTTGTTTACTGCGTGACGATGGAGAGACGTGCCTGTGAAATTGAGGGTGGTAATGGAGCCCGTAGCAAAGAGCACACAGCTTTCAGTCACATACCGAGAATGATGTGACTCAGTTTAACATCCATATAATCTTTAAAAAAGTATCTTTTAAACGTTTCCGGTTTTAACTTAAGTCACGGAACAGTATTTATTTAAGATTATTTAAGCAGATAATCAGGTGAAAAAGAGGTGGAGTTTTGGTTTTAAAAAAAAACGCTGAGTTTATTTCAGCTTTTCTGCAGCCCTTTTTTTCTTTGTGGATCATGTCACTCTTCTTTATTAATGTATGGGAAATGAAAAGATGGTTTTGTGGAAAATCCAAGTGGTTTTTTACAGTCTGGAAATTAACAAATAGTCTGTTTGCCTGAATGCAGTGTTGGGGCAGTAGTCATGTGCCTTACTGACACCTGCTTTGTGTGAGTGCATTAGTCTGGTAGCCCAGATAGTGATTTCTGTTCTTTTTTTAGATTCTGCATGCAACTGTACAGTACTTATATGTGATTCTATTTCAGTTCCTCCGATAAATGAGTTATTTTCTTCTATGTGTTAATTTCAGCATACTTCCCTAAACTGTTTGAAAGCTTCAGCCTCTGTGGTACTTAATATATTAAAAATTGGACTTGGTGATCTTGGGGATCTTTTGCAACCTTAAAGATTCTGTGATCCCTTAGCAGAGGACAAGGCAGCACCATGTAAAGCAAATGAGCTTGCTGTGGTTTTGTACTGTGTTCCTTGGTCAAGCATTTGTCTTGCATTTAGTGCTGCTGTGTGGAACCTAGTCTCCTGCAAAATCAGTGTACTGCTGTTTTGGGTGGTATCAGCATAGCATTTTTTTTTCAATTAAAAGATAGAAAACTTGTTTCCCTAAACATTGAACTATTATCAATTAAATATAGATTGATCTATATCAATTAAATGTTTAGTCAATTTAGAATTTTTATTCATTATAAATTAGTTGAACTGACAGGTACTAATAAAGTATCAGTTAGTAAATAGACTGACTAGTGTGTCTTAGAAGAAGAAAGCTGTGCAAATTGCTTTCTTCACTAATCTCAGAGGTTTTTTCTCTCAGTGCAATCAGATGATTTCTCTGGTTGGTTTTCTTGGGCAGTTTGTGGCTATTTTCTTTCTTTAGATAGCTTTCTCACTGTACAGATATAAAGCAGCTCTTTGTTTTGTGTTTATAAATACTTACTATTTACCCCAAGCTGTAAGGGCCAGTGTGTAATAATAAAGTAAACAGAAAAACCCAAACCGACCAAAGGGAAAAAACCAAACAAAACCCACGAAAACCAAACAAAACCCCTTCCCTAAACCTGAAACCAACCTAAAAGAAATCCCCACAACACGCTATGCAGACTTGAATACTAAAATAGCTGAAGGGACTACTTGTGTTGTTTCTTTGCCTCTTGTTGTTCTCTGTTTATGAGTTCTGAAATGTAAGTTTGCTCATTTTGTTTTAAGATGGAAGTATCGAGGATTCTTAGTGTGAGGCAGTTCTATCAGTACTGAAGGCTGTAGTTTACTACTACATGTCTGTAGAGCAAAGTCTGTCTTTATGATTCTTAGCAGCATAATTCTGCTGAGCAGGGCAGGCTTCAGAATCCAAACACTGTGGTTTTTTGCCAAGTAGGACCTCAATAAGAACCAGTTGATCATTCTCTGACAGAAAGGCAGAAGGTCATCATTAAGCTGGCCATTGATATATTGCTGGAGATGGCAGCTTTTGTACTTGCAGGTGAGCTGGGAATTCAGCTTGAGGTGGCAGATGCTGTTGCCCAGATATATTTTTTTTAATATGTTAAGGCTCTCTGTTCTATTGCTGACTGTATCTGATAATCCCTTTCATAGTTTGGCAGCTTTTTTGGTGACAGGTTTTCTTCAGATGTAGTTATGATCTTTAAAAATACAAAGTAAGGCTGCTTGGTTTTTCGGGTGTTTCAGTGGAAATATCCAAAATGTCTAGAAATGCAGCTTTTCCAAATTTTTTTGATCTCTACCTGAGAATGCTTGAAGAGTAATAAAAAAAAATTCTTTAGTATTCTAGAAATGTCTGAGGTACCGGACAGGAAAACCAGAAGCATGGTGGCTGTCTTTATTAGTAATGTTTGAAGGACAGGCAGAGCTACAGATTGGCAGATTCCTCTTCTTCTTGAATTCCTGAAAAAAATTTCTGGTGCTAAAGCTATTTGTAAGTACGTAGATTATGTACTTACAAATAGGTGTGTAAAAGACAGCATCAGTTTGTCAAGGACAAATAGTTGAAGTAATCTAATCTATTTAAGTAATGACTGATAGACCTACTGTATACAAGAGGATCAGTTTATAATCTTATGTATTGCTTAGTAGGACTTTGATTGTTCCTTAGGGTGTCTTTTCTTGGGAAAGAAAGCAGGGAAGAGCCACTGTTGTGGCTAAGGAGGCCATTCCCTTGTCAAGTACTTTTAATGGTTTTTAGACTTTCCCTAATGAAATAGTATGGTGATTAAAACCATAGAAGCCACAAAACCTGAGAGATTTCAGGTCTTTCTGAAAGTTATAGTGTAAATCAAAATACCTTAAAGATCTGCAAACTTGCAAGGGGAAGTGGGTACACCTGAGCAGAGCTGTTTTCCTGTATTAGCAGGAGCAATCAACCACAGAAATACAGGATAGAGAAGTAGTGTTGTGTTGTCTGGAGGAAAAGAATTTGGAGGCCTTAAGAAAGCTGAATTTGTGAAGGAAACATTCTATTCCTACTTATACTTTGTAGTATGGCATGTGAAGCAGTGTTTGATGTCTGTTCAGGCCTCCTCAGGCATTTGGTGGGAGACTGGGGGAATCCTTCGCAGATATGCTTTACTCTTTCTAGCCTGTCTTTATGAATGTAGAACTGGAGCATCTTTGTTAAATTTGGTGCTGTATTAAAGCTCTGAGAAAGTATGGGGTTTTTAATTCTCTGCTCTTTCATTTAGTAACTTGAGATTTCTGTACCAGGCAGGGTAGTTAGTTCATTTGTAATGTAGATATTGTGAGCGCAGTTACTCTTAGGTTGGCAGGGTAATTTAATACTGTTGATAGTAGAGAGTCTGTCATATAAGGGGAATTAAGCCTGAACTGAGCCCTTTATGATGCATGCAGTGTTAGTAGCTGGGTAAAATGAAATACTTAGCTGATTTTGTCTGTGCCTGAAAAGAAGCAGCAAAATCCTAAGCTAACACAAGAGCATGTCCTTATGTTTTGTTGGTTAAGTTGCACTTCTCATGCCAGTGTTTCATCTTTTAATCTTATTTGTATTAATATGTAGTTGCCTGGTTGTTCAGAAACTGAGTATGCCCATAAATACTTCTCCATTCATGGTGAGGGCTCTTGTTACTTTGTCATTGCTTTAATAGGAGCATCTTCTAAGCCATTGAAGGTTGTACAGTACAAGGGAACTCTCCTGAAGTGGTTATTTCATGGCATTTTTTTAGCGATTCTGGAATTTCAGTCAGCTGATACTAGGTAGCTGTATGCCAATAGTGAGATGGCTGTCTAAATAAAGTGATGAAGCAGGATGATAGGTAAGAAGCTTACCCTTTCTTTGAGCCAACAACCAGGTTCAGTGGCAAATGCTGCTTTCCTCAGGAAGGCATGGCTTTATAGCCTGCAGTAATGTATTTTAAGGTCTGATTCTAGTCGCACAGGCCCTGAGATATGTCTCATAGCACAGAGAGATGTCTGCACTGTTGGTTTGGATTTAGTTCACCGAAGAACTCCTCTCAAGCATTGCATTTCTCACTTTGTGGATTTTCTTCTATTTAATCTTTCTATGTGGAGAGCTGGTTTTAAATGGTTTCTATCTAAAAATTTTAAACTGTTATTAATTCAAAACAACTCTGTTATTAGTCTCAGTCTTTTGAAAAATAGGCCTTTCTTTTTGTGTTTTTAGATTAAAATAGGAACCAGAGAAGAACATAAAGATGTAGTTTAGTGATAACTGCAAAGTCACTTCTGTCTTTGAGTGCGAGTTAAGTTGCACTAGGAATCAATTCCCTCTTTATTTTAGCATATTCAGTACATTTTTGTAATACTTCTGGAAGTACCCTCATGATTGTAGCTGAGTGCAGCATCTTGCACAAAAGCTTTTTGCCTTCTGTTTTGGTAGAAGCTTTTTAGGTGTGACTGTAATAAAACTTTGTGACTAATGAACTGTATGCTGTATAATTTTTTTGTTTATGTAGCAAAAGGTGTGGCTGTAATGGACACAAAAAGCTGCATGCCAGATAGCAGTGCCTTAATGAAGCTGATACGTAATTGTTTTGTTATTTTTGCTTCTGTGGAATTGGCTGCTATACTGTGAATTGAAAAGGCTTTTCTGAGGAAACAGTTATCATACAATATAACAGTCAAGGACTTGCTTTGAATAAGTGATTGAAAAATAGGTGAGATATCCTGAGTTTTTAATGTACAAATGATTTAGCTAAAGTAGAGTACAGACAGATAGTAAGGGGGTGATTAGTGTTAATGGAAGTGTTGATAGTTTGATAAACATGTTTGATAAAAGGCAGAAAAGAAAAAGTGTGTGAATCTTTGACTAGAAACAAGAAGGTAACTCGTTGGGGAGAAAAGAGTCCCAGAATAATTGTTCCTGTGTGTCTTTGTGTCCTCAAGGCAGTAATGGCATCACAAGCTTTAGAGTTTTTTTAGTGTAAATAAGAGAGTTTTCCCTGCATAGTCCCCTGAAGCGTAATAGATCTGCTTAAGCAGTTTACTGAGAAATCAGTAAAAGAAATGGTTCATTTTACCAACTTCTAAAGAGATTTAAAAGTAAGTAGAGGGGAAATTTCAGTAATAGCATTTCTATTAAATCTCCAGGAAAGTGAAAGTACTGGAAGTCTTAACACCAATGCCATAGCAAAAACTATTTCACTTAAATCAGCGAAATGTTAATCTTGATGGAGAAACAAGTCACACTGGCCACAGTTATAAACTTTTTTTTTTAATAATGCATAAAATGCCTGTGATAAAATGATGCTTATTAAAAAGATCTGAAGCAGTTTAAATAAAAATGTAACAAGTCAGTGAAATTTTCTGTAGTTTATTTGTGCAGCTCACTGTCCCTTTGCATCATAGCTTGTCTGTATGAAGCTGTATGAACTTTCTTACAGTGGTCCTGACTGTAACAGAGTAATTAAACACAGAAGGACAAGTAAAGCAAAAATACATCATGGCAAACTATACCCAATGAATTGAGATCCTTGTTTGTCTGAATAGCACCCGAGGAGTAGGAAGGTGAATTGAAATTCTTGAAATTTCAGACCTCAAAGAGGTGCATTACAAGTAGACTAACACATTCTTTGCTGTGTTTTTATGCTCTGTTAACTCTTTTGTATGGGTTTTAAATATGTATTTGAGGTACACTCCATTAAAATGTTGTTCATTAGCTATCCAGAAACATTTAATGTAAACATTTAACCCTTTTAAAAAATTAGTTTATTGCTTCTGAAAGGAGAGAAAAAGAGCAGAATAGATTTTCATCTTGAAATTTGTCCTGGACCTAAAGTTGGGCTAGTAGTCTATTTAAGGACAGAGATTTGCCTCCTGGATCTGTTGTATATCAGGATGATGAACAGGAGTTCTCCTGATAGGTTGCTGGAAACAACAGCATTGAAATGGCATGTTTTGATTTCTTCAGAGGACTTCAGGACATCTTGCTGAAAATCTTTGGTTTTGTCTGATAAGAATCCTTATCAGGTCATGTGAAATATGTAAAGTTTGTTAATATGTTTTGAAGTGTCCACTGAACAACTATTTTGTGTAAATATCTTTCAGAGATTTTAATGTAATTAAACGTCTTTTTGCCGTGCAGTTCTGATCTGCTTTCCCAAGTGAGTGTGGTGTGGCCGAGGCCAGCATTTAACAATGAGTGGTGCAGCGTTGGGCCTTGAGATAGTGTTTGTCTTTTTCCTGGCCTTATTCCTACTTCACCGGTATGGAGACTTCAAGAAACAGCATAGGCTGGTGATCATAGCAACATTATTGGCTTGGTATCTCTGCTTCCTGATTGTATTCATACTGCCTCTGGATGTCAGTACGGTAAGAAACGTGCAGGACTTCCTGCTTAATTGCATCAAATGTTTATGGTATTTCTCTAAACTAATGATTGCAGGAGACCATCTCTTAGAAATGCCAAAGAAATCTTCTATGTAATATCTTAAAAAATTAAACATGACAATGCCTTGTGTTCATAATTAACTTTACTTTTTGTTGGTCTCATCAGATAACAAATTTATTTCAAAATAAAGGAATGAAATTTTAAAATTTCATCATTTGTTTGTAACAATTTTTTTATCTGTTTAGGCAGCATAAGGACACTTTCAGCATTTTACTTACTTGACTGCTGATTGCATGTTGATTTGAATGTTTATTGGTATGATTAATTCCAGATGTAAACCTGGAGTACAGGAAATGTCTTTAAAATAGGACTTATTACTTTTAAATAAGTATTATACCTCTTTGGTCACTGATATAAAATAAATTGTCTTTTAGACTATTTATAATCGATGCAAGCTTGCGGTTAACTCCAGTCCTGCAGAAAGTAATGGCTCTTACGTTACTCTTGCTCCAAGGTATGAACTACATGTTTTTTTCTTTAGACTGTATTTTATGATTTTCTTTTTTTAATTGATAGCATATTATGTTTTTAACACTGATGAATAAGTGTTATCTGTGTGATGCAAATTTTGAAGTTTTTAAGTACACAGGACAGTGAGGGAAAAGGTGATGAAAAGTGGATCTTTACCTGCTGGGAGTAATTACATAGTAATTATGTAGTAGTTCTAGGTGATTTCCCAACTATTCTTTTTTATATCACTAGATTTCCTTTTTTTTTGTTAAAGCAACAGGACTAAGCTTTTTGAGCAATCTTGGTTATGAGGAGAGGCTTTGATGAATGCTTATCCTTTACAATCATAAAGACTTTAAACCTCAAAATCTAATTTTATACATTTCATTTATACCATAGGAATTAAATCAGCTGCTTGTCTTATATGTCAGGGGCGTATCTAATTGCTTCTTATAATTTCATATATATGGTAATTGCAGTTATCTGAAATGCACGGTATTCCACCAAAGTAATGGTAGGTGTGTCCTGGCAGGAAGAAAGTAATCCCTAACCATGGAGAAGTAGACTAAGGTGGGCTTATTCCATGGCTGCTCATCCGTTATCCTACACTGGCTGTTCCCCGTGTTTCTGATGTGTGCACTGTAGTTATCTGTAAGATGATCTGAGCCTTTAAGATATCAGCTGACATGTCTGTGCAAAGTCTTGCCAGTCTTGCTGCCCCAAAGAGGGGCCTGGAAGAATGGTGAAATGACAGTCACACAATATTGCACCCTGTACTTAAGACCACCCAGTGGATGTTAATTAAACCTATTTAATTATATACACAATTTGAAAACTATTCAGTAACCTTTAAATTTATCTATAACTTCAGACAAACTTATTTCTTTAGAATCACAGAATGATTTGGTTTGGGAGGGACCTTAAATATCATCCAGTTCCAGTCTTCTTCCAGGGGCAGGGACATCTTCCACTAGGCCAGGTTGCTCCATCCAGCCTGGCCTTGAACACTGTCAGGGTTGGGGCATCCACAGCTTCTCTGGGCAGTCTGTGCCAGTGCCTCACCACCATCGCAGTAAAGAATTTCTTCCAAGTCTCTAATTTAAACTTGCCCTCTGTCAGTTGAAAACCATTGCTCCATGTCCTGTCACTTTGCCCATATAAAAAGTCCATTTCTTTTTGTAAACCTCCTTTAGGTACTAGAAGGTGCTGTAAGTTCTCCTGGCACCTTCTCCAGGCTGAACAGCCCCTGCTCTCTCAGCCTGTCATAGAGGTTTCAGCAGCTCTCATAGGAGAGGTGCTGAAACCTTTAGTCATACTACCTGTCGTTCTGTCTTAAGTTGCTAGTTTTGAAAATATTTAGGCCATGCACATAAAAACTTACGACTCAGGCTTAACTAGTTTGACCCTGGAAAATACCAATTATTTCTTGTTAGGTAATCTCATCTAAGTTGACTTTATTGCCCCTTGACTCACCCTTGCTTCATTGCCCAGACAGGTGTGTGGGAAAAAAAACAAACTACCTTAGTTTACATGGACACCTTTTCCTTTGTTTTTTTTTTTTTTTTTTTCTTTTCTTTTTCTTAAAAGGGCTCATAGAACTTTTCTGTCTTCTGTAATGAACACTACCTGTCAGAAGAGTATTGGCTTATTGAATCAAAATTTATGTAAGACTGATTCAATCCAGCTTGGTAGCAGAAGAAGCAACTAATATGTTCTTTGTGTGACTAAGTGCTCTAGATGATGATATGCCTAGATATTTTTTAAGAACCTGCACTAACTAAAATTTAATGCTTCTCTGTTTAAACAAGTATTCTTTCTATGCATGAAATAATTACTACTGAAAACCAAGAACTGTAACCTTAAAATGCTTTTTTGAGTAGTCCTATTCAGTCTTGCAATTTTTTTTCTCTTTTCTTTTTTTTTTTTCTAATAAAGATGTCCTGTCCAAATACATTATTTGTGGTTAGGAAAATGATAAATATTTCTAATGATTATTCAGTTTATTTATTTGGGAGATGGTTGATTGTTGACCATGTACTTGAATAGTATTGTACTACTTCTATGTTCTTTTCAAAAAGCTTTCTAGATAGGAATTTATAGAAGTTGCTTTACAGGGCTCTACAACTAACAATAGTCTTCTTTACATTGTAACAGCAAGCAAAAATGTTTCAAACCATGGAGTTATATTCCTGATGGAATTATGCCAATTTTCTGGCGTGTTGTATATTGGACATCTCAGTTTTTAACATGGTAAGTAAGGCAAAAGAATATTGCAAAGAGTATGATGCAGTTTTTAAATGGACCATCTTAACAGTAATAACATTCTTTAAAAATGTATATCAGTATGGCAAAGAGCTTTTAAATTGTATATTATTTTCTATTAGTGAAATTTTGGTAATAATTACTAATTTAGTAATATTCTTTTTTTTTTTCTTGCTTCAGTGGAAGCAACTTTCAGGTGGCAGCCATTTATCCTTAGTTCACTTTTGTAGTTGAAACTAAGCAATTTATACGTGTAGGTGCTTACAGATAGATTGTCTGAAAAAAATGTGTTTTAGGCAACCAGATACCAAAATAATTCCATGAATAATTTGGGTGATTTTTAAGTGATATAGTAAATTAGTCAGTTTTATAAGATATATTGCATAAAGCTTGAGCTATAGCTACAGAAGAAAGATTTGTCTATGGGGTTTTGGGTTGTCTGTGCTTTGTGCTGTTTCTCATCAACCTGTTATCAAATAATTATTTTTGTAGTTTCAAGGATATCAGGGTTGGTACTTCATTCTTATTTATCACAGATTTTTTCATAGCAAAGCTAACTGTATTGTTTTTATCTGCAGCTTGTGTAAGGTTTGCCATCAGACAGGTACATCTAGAATAAAAACATCTAAGTAGCTAATTTCTTAGAAGCTTGGGAATCTTAAACTTTAACACCCCTGCCTCAGTAACCTGACACTGCTAAAGTTCTTTTTTGGGGAGGTTGGTGGTTTGGGTGTTTGGGAGATTTTTTTGGTGGGGGTTGGTGGGTTTTTTAGTTTCTTTTTTTTTTTGTTTGTTTCTTTTTTTCTTTTTTTTTTTTTTTTTTTTTGGCTGGTGTGGTTTTTTTTTTTTTTCTTTTTTTTTTTTTTTTTTGATTGGCTGATGTGGTTTTGTTTTGTTTCCTTTTCCCCTAGGATTCTGCTACCTTTCATGCAGTCATATGCTAGATCAGGAGGGTTCTCCATCACTGGAAAGATAAAAACTGCTTTGATTGAGAATGCCATCTATTATGGCACTTACTTGCTGATTTTTGGAGCATTTCTAATATATGTGGCTGTAAACCCAAACTTCAATTTACAATGGTAAGAATAATGCTGTAAACATTTCCATTAGTTCTTACAGAATTGTCATGGATTATTTCTTCTGTGGATGAAATGTGTCTTTCTGAAAAAACTAGTTTTAGTTACAGTATTTTGCTAGTCGGTTAGAAAATTATGTTATCTTTTTATATGAAAGGGGCTTTTTTGAATATTTATAGAAACTTGGAGTTTGTTTTTCTGATTTTGGTATGTACAGCAGAGGAATCCTCTTGTATTTACAATGCTACTTTTTGTCTCCATAAAAACACATTTGCAAAGTTAGTACAGAAACTTGCAGTGTTTTCAGAACAATATATTTCAAAAAATCTGTATTTCCTATGTGGTGCATCTAAATACTGTAGACTTTAAAGGTGAAAAGGAAAGTTAAAATAATTGACATCTATAAATTTCTTATAGTCTTCCATACCAGATGGAATAGAAATCTGAATACAAATTTCTGAACACAATATTCTGAATACAAATCTTGGGTTCTGAGTTTGTATCTTACAGTGACTGCCATTATGCTATTTTGACCTCACTGTCAGTAGGTTTGGTAAGTTCATGTTGTTTCCTAAGGGAACATACTCCTTTAGGGGAACAGTTTCTTTGAGAACAAACAACAAACAAATTCTTATCTGCCACCCACAGTGGGCAGAACAGGAGATACAGGAAAATTGTGGCAAGTTTAAATATAGCCAAGCAGCAGACTGGCTCCAGGCAAAAATCTAGGTGATACCAGAGTCTGTTCCTGAAAGCTCTGTTGGTACATATTGATACCTCAAGGCTGGTTTCGTGCAGCCAGGATAGGACAGTGTTGTTTGTTTGAGTTTTTTATACTGTTTTGTTTCCTTAGGAACCAGCTTCAGACTATTGGAATAGCTGCTGCAAACACATGGGGTCTGTTCCTTCTTGTTTTGCTTTTGGGTTATGGTTTGGTGGAAATCCCTCGTTCTCACTGGAATGGGGCCAAGAGGGGTTATCTTCTCATGAAGACTTACTTCAAAGCTGCCAAACTGATGACTGAAAAAGCAGATGCAGAGGAGAATTTAGAGGATATTATGGAGGTAAGTAACTAGTTTTACCTGTGGAAAAAAGTGAAGGCTGCTGTTAGTTGTGTCTAAATTCGTTGGTGTTGGACACTTGTAGTGTGAGCTTACTGTGAAATATATGTAAACTAAGAAAATTATCATAGTGTGCCACTTTATAACACTCAATCCTATGCAGAAGTCAAAACAGAAGTAGTCCTTGCTGTGACGAACTTAAAAGTCATAGCAACTTGATAACCATTATTTGATGAGTCTATTCTTTTGCTGACACTTTTGGAGTAGTACTGGTCACTAACAAATAACATTTCGGAGTGAACTTGAACAGGCAGTGTATAAATGTTTCAGTAGTGTTAAAATTGTGTACTTCTATGTTCTGCTCACAGTGTATTTCTAGAACCTTGAGAAGACTTTCCAAATTGTGGGGCCACAATTACATGCCCCTTGAGAAGACAATATATAGATAATTGTTTCTTTCAAAGTTTCTTTTGAGACTCTGTTGTTAAATATCAGTGAGCAGTAGGCTCTAATGCAGTTCAAGAACAGAATGGAAATCTAGCCCTTTGAATAGCTATTCCTGGTTCTTTTGCTGGGATACCATGGCTTGGAATAATATGTGTGAACTGTTGTAGGATAGGGTGGAAATTTGTGTTGTGTGTGCTGACACATAACACAAATAGACTCTTAATCACATAACAGTAATAGAATCTTCATTAATCCGTAACAGCATTTTGAAGAAACTGCTAAAACAGTTAAAAACCTCTAAGTGGGACATAACTACAAAACTTCCTAGAAAATGAGCAATGACGACCCTTTTTTACCAGGATAGCACTTAAAACAGATAGAATATTTCCACTGGAGGGGACCAACAACAGTCATCTGATGCAGCTGTCTGAGCACTTCAGAGCTGACCAAAAGTTGAAGCAGATTGCTAAGAGCATTGTTCAGATGCCTGGAGAGGGAGATGCTGATCTCTTTTCTCTGGTAGCCAGTGACAGGATGCATGGGGGTGCTTCAGAGCTGTGTCCAGAGAGGTCCAGACTGGACATTAGGAAGCAGTTCCTTACCTTACAAGGGGCGTGCATAGTCTCACACTGGAATTGGCTTCCTAAAGTGGTGGTCAGTGCCCTGAATCAGTCAGTGGGACTTATTCTTTATGTCCGTTTTATCTGTAACTAAAAGAAGAAAGTCTTTTCCATTTCAGCCTTCATGCATAGAAGCCAATCCTCCATGCATTTATATAGTTGCATATTTGTACACTGGTGTTCTTTTTAAAAAAAAAAACCACAGAAGTGTTCTTTAAAAATACTTCACATTTCTTTTCTTTACAAATACTATCTTTTCTCATACCTTTTATGAGATATTTAGTAAAATTATGGCTTTTAGGAATCTGTATTTTTTTTAAGCTTTGATGGCTGTCTGTTGGGAGGGCTGCAACTCTAATTGACCAGTAAAAATTTATAGTTAATGAAAAAATTTTTAATTGACATTTTTGATATGGCATAGTTAAACTACTCTGTTATTTTTTCTCTCAACAGGAAGTCCGTAAAGTAAGTGAGAGTATCAAATATAACCACCCTTTGAGGAAATGCGTTGATACAATACTGAAAAAGGTAACCAGTTGTTTGTCTTCAACCGTAATTATTCAGTTGGGAGGAGGTGCTTCTTGCATATGCAGAATACTTGTACATTACTTTCTTTTGCTCTTAATATAAAATCTCTAGTTGACATCTTCTGAGTTTCTGTTGAGACTGTGAAATATTTCCTTGTGACGTATGGAATTATCAGATGTATTTTGACGTAGCATTGTAGAAAGAGAGAAAAGCTTAGAGTGAGCTTTTCAGTTGCGTGAAATGGCCCAAACTTTTACAAATAAAAGCTGCTTGCTACTCTTTTGTCTCCCAGTTAATTTTCCCTTTTCCTTCCAGTGCCCTACTGAGTACCAGGAAAGAATGGGCAGGAACATGGATGATTATGAAGATTTTGATGAAAGACAGAACAGTTATCCCAGTGAAAAAAGTTTGGCCAAACTTCACAAGCAGGTATATTAACAGATGGGAGAATGCCTCACTTATGCTATTGTAGTGAGAGTAAATGCTGATCAAAGATTTTGAATGCACTTCATCTGGACTGTTGAGTACAGTGGGTTTATGCTACTTAACAGAAACTTTTTTTGGTGAGGGAAAGCACAGACATTTAATATCCCAAGTGATCAAAGTTCTGGATGTGTAAAAGTGTTCTTGTGTTGTATCTTTACAGTGTTATAGCTGTCTGTGAATAAGCCTTGTCATGGTTGACTGACAGTGCATTCTGAAAAAGAAATAACAGTAAAAGCTTGATATTTACTGAGATGCAAAAAAAAAGTGGTAGGTTGGGAAAAGTAGGATTTAACTGCTACAGATGGTTTGTGATGAGCGGGCTGCAAAACTCATTAATCATGTATGTAGTACTTCCATGATTTATGTATTTTAGAGAATTACCTACCTGCTTTTTTGAAGATACAGTCTTTGCAGTTCTGCAATGCACACATTTTCAAGGGATTTTGCAAGGATTTTCCACCATTTTTTGAAACAATTACCTTGAAACCCTAATTTCTTGCAATTTATTGTAGGTAATCTATTCAGTGCAGAGACATCGTCGTACACAGGTCCAGTGGCAAATTCTTTTAGAGCAAGCATTTTACCTGGAAGATGTGGCAAAAAATGAAAGCAGTGCAACTCGACAGTTTGTTCATACCTTTCATTCCCAGGAACCAGAAAATAAAATTATTCAGTATTTCTACACGCCAACGGTTGGTAAGTGCTGTCATGCAGTTTTTAGGTATGTTAAGGCATAACTGATACCATTCTGTAACAAGAACCAATTGTTTTATGTAAAAAGTTCAGCTGCAGCAGAGTGAAGCAAGTCCGCAATATTGATGTATTTATGTAATGGAAGAGCTATCAGATAATAATTTATGCTCTTGGCCATAAGCCTCAATTTTATTTACAAATTCAGTAGCAGTCATGTGTCGCAATAAAGCAACAGCAAACTTTGAAGCCTTTTGTGAAAGAGTTCTGTTTCTGGTTGTATAATTTTCATTAACCTCTTCTGGATACATATGTGTGTTTGTTTTTTCCAGAGTGGTACTGGGAGTGCCTTCTCCGACCATGGTTTTACAGAGTGCTTGCAGTTGTGCTGGCCACGTTCTCTGTAATAGTTGTGTGGTCAGAGTGCACATTCTTCAGCACAAAACCAGTTCTGTCACTATTTGCGGTTTTCATACAGCTGGCAGAGAAGACATATAATTATATATACATAGAGGTAAGTTGGAGATAATCACTTGAAAAAAATATTTTCAGATCAATGGTTGTGATAACAGCAGTAGATAAAATAGAATTAAAAATAAATCTCTAAATAATCTGTCAACTTTCAGAAGGTCTCTAAGTATGTGGTACCAAACTTAGTTTGTGTGGAGGAAGTCTGCTTTTGCCACTTGTTAAAACTCTCAAATACCAGGTGAAGGCATGACCCAGCTGGCCTGAATATCATGTAGAGTAATTTCTGAAACACTAGGTTGGAAGATAGGTGTTAATTAGACTTTCTGTCTAAAAATCCATGTGTGTGACCTCAGTTTCCTAAACAGGAATTTGCGAATGACCAGGAATCCAGTCAAAGGTGTGGCTAGCATATGTGTGCACAAATTTATCAGTAAAGATATTGAGCTGAAAAATTCCAGTATACTTAGCAAAGACTGATTTGAAAACACTTGGGTTTATGCCTTTTTTTGTGGGAGTAAATGCCACCTCAGTCATGGTAATTCTTCAGGCAATTACAGAATTTTATTTACATTAACAAGAAGCAGTAGAATGTTTCTGGGGTCAGCTGTGTTAACTTATGTGTAGAATGTTCTAATTAGAATTTCCAGTGTAAATAGTTCTGAAAAACTCCCAAAACTCTTCGCAGAGTTGGTGAAAAATGAAAAATAAAGGCTGGAGATGGTCTCTGCATGTGACAGGCTATCTGCTGAACACATTAAAACCTTTAGTAGAATGCTGCATTTAAGCAACTTAACAACACTTTTTTTTCCCCCTAGATGGCCTGTTTTCTTACCATCTTTTTCTTAAGTATCTGTGTTTACTCTACTGTCTTCAGGATCCGTGTATTTAACTATTATTACTTAGCTTCACATCATCAGACAGATGCATACAGTCTCCTTTTCAGTGGCATGTGAGTATTTGGTATATGTTTTACAGGTGTTCCATTCAAATACTGAATTGAAAATGTCCATGAAACTTTAATTTACGTTCTTTAATTTGTAATTTATGGATATAATTCCTAATGAGCTTTACATCGTTGTTCTATGATAGATCCAGTTACGATTTTGTAGGTTATGTAAGAAACTCTTTTAAATGCTGTTGCCTCTTGCATTTGTGCAGGTTATTTTGCCGTCTTACTCCACCATTGTGCTTGAACTTTCTGGGCTTGACCCATATGGATGCAACAATCTCTCACAAAAAGACTCAGCCAACTGCTTATACATCTGTAAGTAAGAAAATACGGGTTTGAGCTTTCAATATGGTTTGGAGAATAGACAGAGTATTTTTAAATACATCTTATAGTAAGATTCAGATATTCAAGTCTCTTCAATTTTTCCAACAGGGTAAAAAAAAACTTCATTATAGGCAAGAAGTTTGCTAATGATTTCTAGAAGTCATCCATAGCTTTTTTTTTTCCTCTTTATCTTAAGAAAATAAAGTCTTGTACATTAGAGTTCAGGGTGTTCTTAATTTCCTAATATCAATCCCTGTTGTTTTAGCTTTTAGTGGCTTTAGCATGTAGGGCATTCCTACAGATAGGGAACAGTCCTAACTTCCTACTGAAAACCAGTGAGTTTGGTTTTATTGAAGACCTGGTTTCTGTGGCAAGTTATATCTCATGTCTTTGTTGTTAGTAACTAGATTCTTTGTGTTGTCTAGAGACTCTTTTCACAGCAGATGAAAAAAATCCACCAGATTTGCCCTTGTTCTAGAGTGAGTGAGACTACAATGTCTAGCATTTTAGAAACCTCAGAGTGCTGGAGGTGACCTTTTCATCTGCTTATTCTCAGGCAGATCTGTGATAATATTGCTTTTGTTTCAGTTACTACAAAGGATTGTGTATTTGTGAGAAGGTACAATCTTCATGGGTTTATGTAGAGTATAGCTAATTAGAGCTTGTTCTTGTGGGGTTTTTTCCCTAGATAATGGGATCCATGAGAGTGCTGTCCTTCATTGCAGATGGATTCTATATATACTACCCAATGCTTGTTGTTATTCTCTGTATTGCTACATACTTCAGGTAAGTGATTTGCAAGATAGATCCTGCATGCTTCTTTACATTATAAAACTAGTTTCATCTAATTCAGGAAGAGATTCAGTACTCCTTTTTCAGCAGAGTTGTGTCATTCTAACAAAAATGCAAAACCTAAATCCACACATTGCTATTTATATAGGTGAAATGTGTGCATTTTAAAAATACAGATTGGATAATTCATAACTGAGTTAATTTAAACTTCATTCCTAGATTTTAAGTCATGATCTGTTCAAACTTTGGAGCCTGGGGACATTTAGATTGTGCTTTTGAGATTAAAATTATCATGAGCAAGCTGTTTTCAGCAAAGTTTTCTAATAAATTAAGGACCACTAGCAGCAGTTTTAGATATTGAGCTTCCTAACAGACTCATATCAAGTTTCTGATGTGTTACCAGACTTCTGGTAACACATACTGGATTGAGTAATTTGATCTTTTTTCCCTAAATCACAGTTTGCTGGAGGCTGGAAGGGTAATTGTGGAAAACATTGGTACATTCTTGCTTTACACTTGCAAAATGTCTGCTTTTGATTGCTGTAAGGGATGAGATACTTTTAGTCTGATCTTGCTGAAATACACATTTATGTTAATGTCTTCAATTCTGCATTACCATTCAGTCAGAAGCAATCTCTGTGTTTTCAGTCAAGTACAATGTAGTGAAATACCTTGGATATCCATTAATATTGTATGTGTATCAATAGATAGTAAGTAACAAGTATCTAGTTGTGCCTTTTCCCTGCTTACCTTAAAGTTAAGTGACAAAAGTGGTTGTGGAGCTAAAAAACAAACAAAACAAACAAACAACAAACAGGAAAGCAAATGGCAAGAAAAGAGAAGTTTGACCTCTTGTCCATCATGATCATCCTGGGCCTTGAATGCCAAAGTGAAAAGGAAGAAGAGAAATTAAAGGAGAGAGGGTTGCTTTAATGACCTCTGCTAGTAAAGATCGATGCAAAAACAAAGGTTGAATTAAAATCTGTTGAGGAAAGCTGAGTCTCCTGTGCTTAATCCAGCAGTCTTAAAGTTAAGGTAGTATAAGGAAAAAATATATCAATACTCCAGTTTGGAGGAAGGAAAACAGTACTAAAACAGCAGTTGTGTTTTCTGTTGTGAAGTTGAAAAGATGAAAGTGATTTCATGCTATGTAGTTCCAGGACTGGCTTTTAAAAGGTGGAGCAAGCTTGCTATCTGACTGCAGCCAATGGCTATCCAGAAGGGCAGCCAGCATCCCTACTGCTTAGAAGTATGCAGTACACATTCTCCTGAGTGAAACCCTGAGGTGAAAGTGGATTTCCTGTGTTATTACTGTTTCAAAAACAGATAAATTAGAATAAGGAGAATTTTTATAGTAATTGTCTTCTGGCAAAGAAGAGTTGATGACATACTATAGGTACAAATTCTGTTGTATCTGAGAACATTTAAAGCAAGTGTCTAATGTTAGACGCATTTAAAGCAAGTGTCATTTGCACTACTCTCAGACTATATGCATTTTAATGTCTGTTTGAATAGGGTTATTCTATCACTTCCAGTTGTATTTAGGAGTGTGTTACTGTTCCTGGTCACCTAGGTCATCCTGCTGTTCTGGGTCACCAGTTATTGTTCTGAGTTCTGAATTTTCTGTTTTCTCAGCTGGTGTAATAGTCTATCTTTTCTTCTTTGTTTTTCCTTCTTACTTGGATTGTTCATACAGTTCTGAATAGTTTGTTTTACATTTTGTTCTGTAATGTATCTAAACTACTAATTGTAAATTAAAAAAGGAAATTGCTTCTTCTTTTACCAGTTTAGGAACTCGTTGTTTGAATCTTTTGGGATTCCAGCAGTTCATGGGTGATAGTGAAATGACCTCTGATTTGATTGATGAAGGAAAAGAGCTAATCAGAAGAGGTAAATTAGGTCTTCTGTCATAATCACCCTGTAAAATCATACTACCATAGATTCATCAAGGCTGGAAAAGACCTCTAAGACCGAGTCCAACCCTTGATCCAGCACTGACAAGTTCACCATTGAACTATGTCCACAAATGCTACACCTGCACATCTTTTAAATATCTCCAAGGATGTTGACTCAAGACTTCCCTGAGCAGCGTATTCCAATGTCTGACAACCCTTTCAGTGAAGAATTTTTGCCCAATATCCAAACTTCGTAGCACAACTTCAGGCCATTCCCTCTTATCCTGTTGTTTGTTACTTGGGAGACCAACCCCTACCCACTACACCCTCTTATTAAGGAGTTGTTAAGTAATAAGCTCTCCCCTGAGCCTGCTCTTTTCCAGGCTAAACCACTCCACCTTGTTCCTCATCAGACTCATGCTCCAGACCCTTCCCCAGCTCCACTGCCCTTCTCCGGACTCGCTCCAGCACCTCAATATTTTTCCTGAATGGAGGGGCCCAGAACTGGACGCAGGATTTGAAATTTGGCCTCTTCACTATCCAGCACAGAGGGACAATCTCTGCCCTGGCCCTGCTGGCCACACCATTGCTGATCCAGGCCAGGTGCCATTGGCTTTCTTGGCCACCTGGGCACGCCCTGGCTTATGCTCAGCCACTGTCAGCCAGCACTCCCAGGTCCTTTTCCAATAGGCTGCTTCCACCTGCTCTGCCCCAAGCCTTTAGCATTGCATGGGGTTGTTGTGACCCAATTGAAAATTTAAAGGAAAGTTGTTTGGTGAGCATTTTGACCAGCTCCCTCTGTTTTGGGCTGATACCATCTGGCCCCACAGACCTGTGTCTGTCCACGCACGATGTAGCAGGTCACTGATCATATCCTCTTGGATTTTCGGGACTTTATTCTGTTTCCCATCCCTGCCTTCCCGCTCAGGGAACCTGGTACTCAGACAGGAACTGGTCTCAGTCTTAAAGACTGAGACAAAGAATGCATTAAGTACCTCAATCTTTTCCTCATCATATAGCATGTTTTTGGATTATATTTGTCTCAAATGTTGCAGGAAAAAAAAAACATGCTGTCTGTCAGTATTTTGAAAGCTGTACGAGGAAGGCCACAGCACAAACTGCAATAAACTTAGAGCAATGCGGTCACTATGTGAAGTCCACTGATGGACTTCATTGACATTTTAAATGAGGTACCAGTTTTACTCATCCAGTGTCTGAATTTTAGATATTTCTAAATATTTTACAGTGTGTTACTGAACAAACAATACCTTAGCAGGTCCTTGTGTAGTCTGTCATAAAGGATGGTTAGCATTTACATTGTCTTTATCATCAACAAACTAACCTTTTTTTCTGTGTTGATTGAGCTACACAAATTCAGTCCTTTCCTTCAGTCTTTTTTGCTGTGTCAACAGCTGTGTTTAATTAGAGAACGCATGATTTTTATGTAGAACTGGAATCACCTGCTGGTATGGAAAGCTTTTTATTTTGCATTAATTTTTATTGAAAGTATTTCTTAAAAGTTGCAAAAAGCCATTGTAATTTTTGAGTAAATGTTTAGAAATTGAAATTTCTGGATACAGTGTTATATTATGGAATACCTTTATTCCTACAGTTGATGAAAAACAAAACCTGGGTTTACTTATAGTAGTATGGGTTTTTTGGAGAAAGACCAAAGTTTCATTCCCTTAAATAAGAGGTGATGATGACATTGATATGTGATGTTATACTTCCAGCTTTATAACAGATAGGACACAAAGTAATTGGGTCGCAGGGTAATTGGGAACCCAAAGTAGTTGGGCCTCACAGAACTTCATGAAGTTTTTGATTCAAAAATGCTGAAGTTTTTTCTTCATTTCTTTTTCTTAATATCATACTTTCCCAATTATTTCTAAGGGTTTGTTTGATTTTTTTCTTCTTTTTTTTTTTTTTCACAAAAAAAGAGTCCCAGATAATTTATGGAATCAGTTTAATGTTGCTGAATAGTCTTGATTAGGAGTTACTTATAGAAGGTTAGAGGACAATTTTAATGACATTACTTGGACACTACTCTTACTCAGTGATGCTGTGGTGTATGCCAGTAGGTACAACAAGCATTAAAAATGATCCTGATTACTAGGATACAGAATAATCTAAAATGGCATATTACCAGTCTCTTATAGTGATACTGCTCTACTTGAAATAACTGCAGTTGCAGAGTTGTCATACTGAAATGTGGACCCCTCCCAAATTTATTGTTTTGTGTGCTGGTTGGAAAGTCATAGGCACAGGTTCTATTTTATTTTTTGCCAGAGGAGGGAATTACGTTTAAGACAGAATTAATAGTTTCCACTGAATAACAAACAAAATGTTTTATTAAAGTCATGTTTTCTGCGCATATTGTATTGAAAGATTTGTGAAGCTGTAGTTTTTCACTAGTTTATAACAAAAGCTAGGCTAGAAAGTCGCAATAAAAGGTAGATGAGAGAAAGGATGCATGCAAGACAGTACTGGGACTAAAACCTCTTGGTTTTCCAAGGTCATGTATAATTTAATCCTAGATGACAGCCAGTACTGCATAGACCTTTCTTTTGATCCTGTCCTGGTTTAGGGCAAATTTGGGAGAAAACCTCCAAAAGGGGCCCCCCCAGAAAGCAAAACTACACGGCCCCTCCCCACAACTGGTTCGGGAAAAATGTCCTCAAAGAGAAGTGTAAAAAACCTGTTTATTTAACAGGAAAAGCACCCCCCAGCACACAAAATGAACAATACCAGCTGACAAAACTCACCCACTGCTCTGGGGAGATGAGAAATTCAGAAGGTCTCTCCTGGGGGTTCGCTCTGCTGTCAGTCCTGCAGGCGCTGGGAAAGGCCGCTGCCCAGAGCAGGCCCCGCTGGCCACAGGTGCGAGCTCGCGGTGCTCCGGGGCCCGCTCTGGAGCAGGTTTGAATGGTTCCAGGAAAAGGGAAAAAAGGCAGTGCAGGGAACTTCTCTGCCTCAGCCAGCTAAACTAACTAAAAAGCAAAGGAGAGCCTGTTCTGCTCAACAACAGAGCAGCACAGTCCCGCTGAATGTGGAGGAGTGGGTGCAGTCGCTGATCACAAACTCTGTGCTTCTTCTCCCTGCGTTCACTCTCAGGGCCAGTCTTGAAAGCACAGAATATAATATCCAGCATAAACAGAACACACAGTTGGGAATACAGGCATCATAACGTCACCCTAGGACAGATCCTTTCCCTCCGACTTGTAGTTTTAAAACTTTGAACTTGTTGGGAAGCAAAATAGCAAGTGTATGATACATTTAATATACAGTGAAATGACCTGACACTAAGCTACAAATTTATCTGTGCTATGTGAGTCTTGTTATTTTTCCTTTTTGCCACTAGATGGAAGTAGTGATTAATGAAAGCAGCAGTTCCCACCATAACTTAGAGCGGCTGGCTGAACTTCTAGAGCAGATTTGAGATGCAATTTCTTTTATAAAAGTCTTTTTCTTAAGAACAATTATGATAACTGGTTTAGTGAAGGAATACATTTTGAGTTTAAAATGAAACAAAAATTCTTCCTGTATTTAGATACTGAACAGTTACTGTGTTCCATTTTCCTCCCAACTTACATTTTTCTTGGTGGTGTTTTTCCAGGAATGGAAGGAGCGGTATGGAAATAGAGATGATTCCACCAGAAGCAGAGCTGTCCACACAGACCAGAAAGAATCCAGCTTCTCAGAGACCAATGCCAATAGACGTAAGCTTTGTGGGTTGGAGGGAAGTTCGTTTTGTTTTGTTTCGGTACATTTTCTTCACAGCACTGGATGTGAAAGTAGTTTCAAATATTCTTTTTGTCTTAGATGCTGTGGTGATAATGTTTACTTCTGTGGCTCAGCATTGCCTTGCCATTTAAGGCACTCAAAAGAGTACTGTATTTCATTCCATCTCCAACTAGTTGGGATCAGAGATTCTTACTATTCTTCAGACCAATTACTTGGTCTTATGGGATATATAATGATTGCCATTAGAGTAGCAGTTGTCAACAAAAAAACTTCATTATACATCTTGAAGTTGGGTGTTGTAAATCTTAAAATTTACCTCTTCTGCTTGCAAGTGAGCTGTCTCAGACTGGAATAATGGAGCAGTCAGATGACCAACAAATGTACATCACATAAGTGTATATACCTTCATTTAATAATGCCTATTAGCAAAATACTTATTTTTTTAATGCTTTAGTCTTCAGAAAAGTTTGTCAGAATGTGAATATTTTTTTCTGTATTTTTTGTGCTCTTGTAAGCTAACAGCAAATAAAATGAAACTGAAGAAAAAGGAGGGAAAAGGGGAGGAGGGAAGCTTTGTATATGCTTTTAAGAAAACACTGGTAGATTTCTCTCTCCTCTGTACAAAGTTGCAAATTTTTAGTGGTAGACTAACTGCAGTTGCATTCTAATTCATCATGTGATTATGTAGCATTCCAGCTCTAAAACAAGACATAGGTACTGACGTAGTGAAGGTCACAGAGTAAACTGCAAAACAACTCATGAGATTGTTTGTTTGTTTTTGTTTTTTAAAAAATCAAAAAAATGGTCTGAACAGCTTAGTTAAAGCATGAAGCTGGGAGGATGAATGGATGATTTTAAAGTAATGCTTGCCAGTGGTTTCTTATTTTTCTTGATTCTTTGCAAGGTAGATCTCAACCTCTTGGAGGGGCAAAAGTTGTAGTTGCATTTCTTTGGAGATACAAAATTGAAATACTACAAGTTTGAGCAAGTTTAGTCTATTATTAAATTTACTCTAAATCATTGCACTTTTGCTGTGGATGAGATTGCTTTTTTATTCATAATGGTTTTTAAAATTTGATGTCTCCATACCCTCCAGGCTGTTCACAAAGCAAATAAGTGTCTTTCACTCCTCTCACTTTCCAGCACTATCAAAGTATACCCGTTCAAATGGTAGGACTGAAAGAGATAGAATAGAACTCCTTCAGGATGCAGAACCTTTGGATTTTAATGCAGACTCGGTTAATGACGACCCCCTTGAATCGGACGCGGGGAGGTGAGGAATAGTCTCTGTAATTTCCAGTTAAAGGTTTCTACTGTTTTCTGACCTATGACAGCTGTATCAAATGTTTCATAATAAGAATTTTGTAAATGAAGTTTATAATTTCATCTAATTTTTTTCCTTTCTTCCTTTTCCCCTGTAATAAGGAAATAATTTTAAAACCTATTAAAACCTGAATGTGTTCCAGGTTTTTTAGAAATGTCAGAGTAAGATTTGAGCTGGATATAACGTTATATATGGAACAATTTGAAAACCACTGCATACAAAACTAGCGAATGACATGCATCTTAAGGAAACATCCCAGTGTGACCATTCATGGCACAGTCTGGGGGGGGTCACACTTGTGCCACCCCAGGCTTTCACTGCTGGGACTGAATCCCCTTCACCACAGGCAGCTCCAAGGACCCAGGGAGACCCAATCCCCCTTTCCCTCCCTACTCACCCCACTCTCACAGTCAGAAAATTTTGCCTTTCCAGCTTGACCGCAGGTTTCCCATAGCAAAGTCGCAGATATCTGGTTCCTCTAATCACAGTGACGTGACAGTATAACAGCTCAAATTGGTGCCTTTGGGGAGGAACCCCAAACAAAAGAATCCCTGAGCTTTTACACCTCACAGCCCACGTGCACTGTAATCCAGACTCTTCCAGCTGAGCCTGTCGCTCCTGCACGGTCTCGGAGTATCCAGTCCAGCGGCAGGGACAAAGTTCCCTGTGCCCTTTCTTTGTTGTTCATGGCACCTTGCCTGGGGCTCCCATTTCCTGACATCCAGGGCACAACCTGCAGCTGCACACCGAGCTGCCAGGTCTAGGTGTATGCCTCAACAAACAGATGTACAGTGTAAGGTTTTCCCGGATTTCCTACAAAGCTCAGCTGGAGAAAGCTCTCTTGATTTCCCAGTATAAAATTCATTATGAAAAGGCTGTAGGAAAGAAAACTGAATGTTACAGGATCTGCTGCAGGAATACAGCTGGGTATCAGATCTTGGAACTACTGAAGTAAATTAAAATCTGAACTTCCTGAACAGAGTACATAGTTGATATAGCACTCTGTAGCTCTGTCTGTAGCAGAGAATTTTGTGATTCTGTGGTTGTGACTGCAACATCAAATTTCCTCAGTCACAGAGCACCTTATGTAACTGCTAAGCTCTGCTTATATTTAAGAAACAAGTAATACATTGTATGGGTGCTTTTTTTTTTTTTTTGAGGGGTGGTTATAGTGTAGAAATGAAAAATAGTTCAAAATTCACATATAAAAACTTCTAATTTGTTGTTTTTCAGCTAAAACTATTTTACCCCCATCAAAAAGAGTCACAGAAAGTCTTTGTTCAGTGGACTTCTATCTATAATGTCAATAAGCAAATGCCAGCTCAGAAACATGTAAAGAATGCTGTGAAATGGCACTGCCAGCTTTCACAGGTTGATTCAGACAACTGGTTTAGTCTCATATCACCACATTTGAACACTTGCCGGTTTTTAAACACAAAAGTTTATAAAGAGGAACTACCCTAGAATTCCTGTCAGCAGTTGGCTTCCGTGCAGTGTCAAAGGGATTGTCTACTAAAAACAGGAGTATGCATATGTAATTATTCTGGAGCAAATACTTTTCAAGCACAAGGAAGTCTCTGGGAATCTCTGCTTGCTTTGCAAAGTGGAACATTCTAAACTTCTTCTTTAAAAAAAAAAATCAGGAGCTTCAAAGCTTAGTTGAGATTCGCCCAGTAACCTTCATTTCATTTCATGGAACTAATAAGTCAAGAGTAATTGCATATGGAATTCCATTTAATTTACAAGTAGCTTATGTAACATTGGTTTTCAAAACTAGAGCTCCTGCAGTAAATAGAAGATTTTTGATAAAGACAGTTAGGACACCAGGTTCTGGCTTTGTGTTCATTCAGATTTTACTAAATACTACAGTGAGGAGCTTCATTGTGCCTGTGTTGGGCTTTATTTGTGTCTTTAAAGTGTTTCTAAAATATCTTTGATCAACAATTTGTGAAGTTTCTCTTTTACCAGTTAGCATGCAGGTATTTGTTTGATGCAGACATTATCTTTGATACTGTATTTCTTCTAAGAATACCCCATGAGATGTACTGTTAAGCACCCACAGCTACTTTATGAGTGCCATTGTTTGTTTAGGTTTATTGTGTTTCGGGTTTTTGTTTGTTTGTTTAGTTGGTGTGGTTGGGGTTTTCAAAAAAGGTCCTGTTCAACCAAAACATCCAACTTCTTTCCTTTGTTTCAGGAAATGTAGTTCTTTAAGACTTTCAGTATTCATATAACTCTCTCTTGGTCACATGAGGAGTAATTTAATGACTGTCTTTCAAATTTTCATGGAAACTAATTCAGTAGAACATCAAATTCATCATTCACTGGAGTTAAGGAGTAAGATTGCAAAGAGAGTTAGATGAGTTAATGGGTCTTTATTTTTCTATTTCGTGTGACACTTTTTCACTTCTGAAATTGATTCTGCAGGTACCAGCCTGGTGGAAGATACCTGTCAATGTCCCGAAGCAAAATATTTGATGATGTCTAAGCTCATCAAAGCTAAAGAAAATTCATTGGAAATCTAGATCCTACTCATTGCTTGGAATATACTGTATTTACGATATATCACTGAACCATCAAAGACTCTTTAAAAAAATATGAAGGAACAACTCTTTTGGAAATGCACGTGTATGATAACTTCACCACTTGTGAATATGCTTCTGCTGTTGTAGATACTGTTGTGCATCAGTGTGGGCTTTTGTGTCATGACCAAAAGGAGAAAACGATTTAAAGTTAATAGATGGTAAACTCATAAATATACCTAGGGCTCAACTTGAACTGTAACACTCTAAGTTTGGGGAAGAGATTTTTTTGAATTTTTAATTTTGTATTTTAACCAATGCTGTGAGAGCATACTGATGCATCCAAAGTGCAGTTATTTCATCTGTGCTTTTGCTGAGAAAGGTTGGACTGTAAAATCATAGTCACAGAATGGTTTGGGTTGGAAGGAACCTTAAAGATCATCTAATTTCAAGTCCCTCTGCCATGGGCAGGGACACCTTCCGGTGTTGCTCAGCCCTCCATCCAGCCTGGCCTTGAACACACCCACGAATGGGGCATCCACAAGTTCTGTGTGGCAAGCTGTGCCAGTACCTCACCACCCTTACAATAAAGAATTTCTTAACATATCTAATCTAAATCTGTCCTCTTCCAATTTTCACCCATTTCCCTAAGAGCCTAAATGAGAGATGTGGAACTCCAGGCAGCTCTTCCAAATGCAGTTTATTACATCCAAGATGTTACAGCAGTCCAGGGTCGTGGGCGACAGAGCCTGTGCCTACGGCTGTCAGCTGCAGCTGCAGGCAGGCCTGGAGACCCTTAGCTTAGGTTGCAAATGTATTATATACTTTTCTTTGCTGAGCATCTTAATAGAGTAGAACCAATCTATACCTTAACTTTTATCTATAACCTATCCTACTGTAATTACCATATTCATGTCACTATTCTCCAGTCACTAAAAGTTTTATTACATTACAGTTTAAGTTAGAAGTTCTTTTTCAGTTTTCTTGCAGTGGAAAATTCTGAGGCCTTTTTGCTACTTGCAACATTTGCTGACTTGTTTGCCTGTGCTGTCTTTCTGCTTGGTAAAAACATCATCTTGTTTGAGGTAGATTTATCCTTTGCTCTAAGTCATAAAAACCCCTTCTAATTAACATACCCTTTGCCTCCTTGGTTACCTAGTAAGATTGGCTCAGCCATTCTTTTCTTCTGTATCAAAACTTGCTTCCATCTCTATTCCTTCCTCAGCTTTTACACTCAAAAATCTTTCTGCTAAGCATACATATTTGTGAGACTTTCTTGTCAAACTTTCATCCTTCCTGACATCCCCCCTTGTCCCATTAATACGCCTCCTGATATAGAGTGCCTCTCCAGCTTCCCTTTAGGCATGTTCAGACACTGGAAGGTTCCTGTGAGGTCTCCACTCAACCTTCTCTTCACGAGGCTGAGCAGCCCCAACTTTTTCAGCTGGTCTTCATTGAGGGAGGTGCTCCAGTCCTCTCACCAACCTGGAGGCCTCCTCTGGGCTGACTCCAGCAGGTCCCTGTCCCTCCCGTGCTGGGAGCCCAGCTCTGGATGCAGTGCTCCAGGTGGGTCTCAGCAGAGCAGAGGGACAGAATCCCCTCCCTGCCCTGCTGCCCACGGGGCTCTGGATGCAGCCCAGGACACGTTTGGCTCTCTGGGCTGGCAGTGCCATGGCCGGGGCATATGCAGCCTCTCACCCACAGCAGCCCCAAGCCCTTCTGGGCAGGGCTGCTCTCATTTTGTTCTCTGCCCAACTTGGAAGTTTTGCCTGAGATTGCAATGACCCAGGTGTAAGACCTTGTCCTTACTTTGCACAGACCGACCTCTGAAGTAGGACCTGTCCAGGTCCTTCTGGACGGCTTCCCTTCCCTCCACTACCAATTGCACCACACAGATTGGTGTCAACAGACAGCTCTTGAGGTTCCTTCCATCCTGCTACTCTGTGGTTCCATGAATCTTTTTTGGTATAAATTTTGGAGTGATGCGTGTTGGTTAAAAAAGGCTGTTTTTTTTATTTTCCAACATTATATGCAGATACATGATTTTAGCATGTGTAAATAGTTGAAATTGAATATGGACCTGAGCGTCACTGTCATATGAGCGTATGTGCAATAGCAAGAATACATTATTGAAGATACGTCTGCTTAAGATCTTTACAGATGTAATGATTCAAAATCATGGCACTCTAGTGTTTTTGTAACTGTAAAAGAAACATACTATGAAGATGAAATTAAATACTGAAATATGATAATTTGCACGCACCTCAGGCACGGCTTCAAACTGTAGAGTATTTCTTTAAAAGAAGGGAAATACATAGCATGACTAGGTAATGGTAAACACTTCTAATATCCTAAATACCCTGGTTGCATTATGTATCAGTTTTTAAGGTGCCTGTATTTTGCAGTAGGTTGTTGCAAAAAGAGTAATACTTCGCCATTCAAAAATGCCAATTATTAACAGTGTGAAAAAGCGTCACATTAATTTCATTAGTGTAGGCATATTTTTAAATCATAGTTAGTTGTATGAATTTTAAGATATAATCATAAGGTAAAAGATGTGGTCAAATTAATGATAACTTTGGTAATTTGAATAATTTAAAATGTTGCTTTTTTTTCCAGTTTCTCTGAAATCTTTACCACTTGGGAGCTTTCTTATGTGCTTATTGCAAAGTTATGTTGAAAACTAAAAGAAAACATGTTTTTATCATACATTTTTTATCATGCTTAAAAAACACATCCCTTAAAGCAGCTAGGAATGAGTTATTATGAAAAGTAAGTTTTCATGAATGACATATTCTAGGAATTTTTTAAAATAGTCTGTGTTTTCTCAAGTAATTGTTAATGGGGATCTAACTCTACCTCCTGTGATTTTAGTACATGTGTTGTAACAGTAGTGGTATTTGTAATACATTGATCTGCCTGTTTTGAAACACTGAATTGTTACTATGAAGGAGAAAAAAAATCTTTATTTGTATAGAAATAATTATATTAATAAATTAGCAGACATACAATAATTGTCAGTTTTGTTCTTAGGTGAATACAGTGAATGTCAGCCATACCCACAGGCATTCAAGCTCATGCAATTTCCAGACTACTCATATGAGGTCACTTTTTAGTGTTTGTAAAAGCTTGTTCCAAGTCTTAGGCTTGAATCTTACTGGGACTGGAAGTTGAGAAGATTAGTCTCTTTATTCAGATATTTCTTTAGGAATTCTATGGTAGCACCTATTTAATTTCTTTTTTAACTACTTAGTAGTGCTATCTTGAATTCATCCTTGTATGAAAGGTGTTGTATATGTTCTTGGACACCCATCCACATGAACGTTCTTAGACTCTATATGTCTTTTTTAAAAATTTGGATCAGCGATTTGTTTATAAAAATCTTTGGCAGAAATAAAATTCAAACTCTTTGTTGAACTCTTGAGATGTCACTTCAAAGGGATCTAATTCAGAGCCAGTAGAAAAACTATTAGAAGGAGAGTCTTGTTTTCTGAAAATCTGTGAAATAACCTTACCTACTTCCTGGTGACTAGACAATGGGATTGAGCCTTCTTGGGGCCTGTTTATTTCCCCCTCTCAGTGAAATGTCTGCAAACAGAATTTTCAGGGGAAACATGGTCAAGATTTTATATACAACAGGTAACTAGTCCCTAGTGCAGATTTCATTGGAATACAGTAATTTGAAGAGTTAACTGTATAAATTAATGGCTGTGGGATTTCAGATTCTAACATAGACATTCTGAGCTGAACATTTTTGATGTTGCAGTGGAGTAAGGGAGAACCAATGGCTGCTTTTTGAGCTCTGAAAAGCTCTAAAGAATTCTCTGTATCATGCTTGGCAATGCCTGCTGTCACATAGTCCCTGGATGCTGCTCAGTTAAACAAGGAGTTGATAAGTGAAATCAAGTTTTTTTCCATAGGAGTTATCCAGGCTCTAGTTACATGCTGTTTATTGGCTAATTTAATGTATGTTTTGAAAATTCATTATGGGTTCATATGACTGAATCTGGAATGCTTTCAATAAAGAAATATGGTGTACAACTGTAGAAGAATAACATTTGCTGTTCACTTGAGCTAGTTTCAAACAAGTTTGGTTACTGCTAGAACAAAAAAATGCAGAACTTGGCTGGGGGTTGTGTCCCTAAGGATTTACCCCACTCCAGAGAGCTGTTGATGCCCTGTCCCTGGAACCGTTCAAGCCCAGCCTGGACATGGCTCTGAGCACTCAGTTCTAGTTGACGATGTGCTGGCTGGTTGCAGGAGCATTGGACTAGGTGGCCTTTACAGATCCCTTCCAACCCAAACCGTTCTGGGATTCCATGGTGCTTCTCAGACAGCTTGTGGCAACCCTTGATGGGTTCTTCCCTGCTACAGCTCCAGTCCGAGTAGCCCTGCAGCTAAATGTTTAAGCAGTGACTGTACTCTAGACTAACAATGTTCTTGCATCACTTCTGATGTTCCAAATTAGGTGATTTTAAATACACTTTCCTTGCAAACTGTGCTTTTGGAAACTGAGTGTTAATGTATTTTTCTGTCAGTGTATATATAGAGTCATACTTATTTGCTGCTAAAGAATGTCAATTATATATTTCTTTATTGTTTCACTTCCTGAATTACTGAGCAGTTAGTGTTTACTTCTTGCCATCATTTCTGCAGTTTTCTCTCTGTCAGTGAACACCAAAACATGAAAAATCCCACCCAAGTTAAGTACAAATGTTTGAATGTCTTCCTGTCAAAGATTTAACTGAGTAAAATAATGTGTGCAAGTCACAATGAACTTCAAAAAGCAGTGTGAAAACAGTACCTAATCAGTGTTGGAATTCTTAAAAAGTATGGGTAGGCAAAAAGCTGTAGTCAAACTTATTACTCCTACTAGATTAGTAGTTCTCTTTTTCTTAATATATATTTTGATATGTATACTGGGAAATATGTGCCCTACTCAGCTAAGGAGGGGTGCATCTCTCAGCTGTGAAGTGAGGCAGTGTTTTTATAAGGGAAGGTAAAAGGTGTGTAACTTCTAATCTGTGCTCATAGTGATAGTTTGCTTTGGGCAAAGGACGACATAGCTTCTTATTTAACTACAGTAAAGTGTTAAGAAAAAAATAAACTTTATGCTTCTATAAACTATACTACTGGAAAAATGATGGTATGTAATCTGACTTTATTTTGCAATCAAGCACTTGTAAAGTAGTCATTAACAGTATTAACAGGAATGGTGGAAAGCTGCTGCCTTTTCAATATTTATTCATGCTATTTTAAAATACAACATGAACAATGGTTTTTACATAGGAAATATTTAAAAATTATTACTATGATTTTCTATGATTATGGTAATTTGTATTTTATTAAATTTGTCGTGGAATACTGTAAATATTATGTGAAAAATACTCCATTTAATTTCAGTTTTCATTATTGCTTTAATTACTTGAATTCTGTGGGGCATTCATAATACCAAATAGAGAACACTTTATGAAGGAAAACTTTCTGTGAAGCTTCTTAAAAAATCTGACTGGTTCATTACAGACATATAGGTGCATCTTAATTATTAACAATAACACTACTAAGGGGATATATCGTGTCCTAGCTTTTTAATTTTTCTTTGAAATTAAAAAAATTGTTACTTTTTTTAGAGCAGCTTAGTTGTGGATCTTGTAAACTTTCTGAAACTTTTACATTCCTTTTCCCTAATGGGCTCTGCAGGAATATGTGCTGCTTCATGGCAGTCACCTAATACTAGCTGTGCCTCTAATTAAGTAGTCTAATCTGAAGCAGAGACACTCCTACACCATTTGATTATGTTAACAGAAATTCAGCATTCCTAGCAAAAAAAAAAAAAAAAAAGGCACGTTGAACTAGATCCCTTTTAAATACATTAATTGCTGTTGTTGATTTTATTGCATTATATTTGGTATCCTCTGTTTGAGTCATATCATAAGCCAAATCAGGTTTATTCTTTGTTTCTCTTAGAATGCATTGGAACAAAATCCTCAGCATGCTTTTGTGTGCATGTGTGTGTTTTAGTATGCAACTTCAGTTATTTTCTCAGGATAATGTTGTTATATTTGACATTCCTGTGAACTAGTAGTTTCAGAATGATACCTTAGCTATCACTGTAGAAATTAATTATTTTCAATAGAAATACATTGTGTTTCTGTAGAAGTATCTGGAAGATAAGGGAATTCATTTGTAAGTATAGGTTTAGTAATAGACCTCCATTCTCCAGTGTATATCAAGATAGGCTGTAGGAGTGCTGCTTATGGATAGACTATCTTCTTTTGCCTTATGATACGAGTATGTATGCATAAATACCTTGTTTTGAAATTCAGAGTTAAACATTTTTCTCTGTAGTGTTCTGAATTACTGTTGTATTGGATTATATTTTTGAAATGTGTGTTACAATATATAGAGTCAAATACTTAAATTGGCATGAAATAAATAATTTCTGCAATACATTTTCCCTGGTGTATTTTAGATATTCATACTTCTCTGAGGTGTTTTTGAAAGTACTCTTTTAGAGAAAATTGACCTATTTCTTTTTTCCAGGTGGAAGCTATACTTTTATTAAAAGTATATTCATACTTTTGGTTGTCATTTTGAATCTTCTTGAAGGCAGATTAAGAAAGGAAATCGAGAAGAATATTGCGTACCTGGTGTTGTCAGGGAAACCGGTGAGTACCCTGTGCTTTTGGGACTGACTTGGCACTGAGTATTTCTGTGGGGCATAAGGTGGGATGAAAGGTAGGGTCTGTACATCTCTTCTTGTTTTCTGTGAGAACTCATACTAGAACATAATTCCTTCTAGTTCATCCAGGCCACTGGTGAGAATAAAAGCAGGAGACTGATCCACTGCAGCTGTGAGGAGATGAGCACAGCAAAGGAATTGACTCCATCTCATCTTTCTAATGGTTACATGTTTATTGCTTTTATCTTCCCTGCAGGAAAAAAAAAAAAAAAAAAAGAGAATTTTTTTTTTTTTTTTTTTCTGGGGGGGAAAAAAAAAAAAAAAAAAAGATAAAGGAAGAAGAGAATTTTTATTTTTTTTAATGTAAATATTTTACTATCTCTGTAAGCTGAGGGAGGTGATTCTACCCTTCTGCTCTGCTCTGGTGAGACCCACCACTGCTGCATCCAGCTCAGTGGTCCCCAGCACGAGGACCGTGGATCTGTTGGAGTAAGTCCAGAGGAGAGACACAAAGATGGTCAGGGAGCTGGAGCACCTCCTCCATGATGAAAGGATGTGTTGAGTTTGTCCAGCCTGGAGAGGAGGAGGCTCCAGGGAGATCTCACTGCAGCCTTTCAATACTTCTGTGGGGTTTACAACTAAGACAGGGCCCAGAAGGGATAATGGTTTTAAAGTGAAAGAGGGTGGATTGAAGAAAAATATAAGGAAATACTTTACAATGAGATGGTGAGACAGTGGCACAAGTTGCCCTGAGAGGTGGTAGATGTCCCATCCCTTGTAACTTTCAAGATCAGGCTGGAGGGTGCCCTTAGCACCCTGATCCAGCTGAAGGTGTTCACATTCATTGCAGTGAGGTTGGAACTAGATAACCTTTACATTCTTCCAACCCAAACTATTCTGTGATTCTGTGTATATATATGTTTTTTAGAAGTGGTTTGAATAGGAAAGTGAATAATTTTCCAGATAGTTAACCAGCCACACTCTTCCTCCAAACTTAGTGTGACAAGTTACTGCTCTTAAATCTACCAATCTACCATCCATGCAATTCAGTTGACGGGAATTGTCCTTATTCAATACTAACTTTCAGTTATTTGTTGTCAGATGTTTATTTGCTCAGAGAAAAATATAAATTCTGGTGTTTAGTTGTTAGCAGTTGCTAATGAAACTACACTGAGTGTTCAGTGGGTTTTACATCTTCTGAAATACCATCTGCCTGACTGAAATTACCAGGCTTCTGAATTAACTCTACCCTTCCCTCTGCAGCTCCACCTGCAGAGTGCCGTGGTGCTTGTTCATCCTGGTGTCTGCTCTGCATGCTGTGATAAAGATCTTTACCCTTTCGCTCCATAAACATCCTGTCTTTTGCATCTTGTTCTACATTGGTTCATTACTTGCCATTGCCTTCGGGATTTTTTTTGAGAGCTTTATCAAAAAGCCAAAGTTGGTCAGGGCCCAGCTGAGAGAGGAGACAATTTCCTTTCACGGGCAGCATGACCTGGATTGCAAAGAGAGATTCAGCTCATGAACAGAGGTCAGGTAATGGAGTGATTTATGAATGTGGGCTGCACACAAACACAAGAAAAGCCCTGAGGTTCCTCCCACAGAAATGTCTAGTTAAAAGTGTGTGTTTCAAGTTGCTCAGCAAGATGTGCTGTAACTGAGCCAGCGCCTAGGCATGTCTGTGGAAACCTGCTAAGCCTTTGAAATCCAAGTGAATGCTTATAGTTAAATCATCCATAGTAAAAAAAATAATTTCCAGAGTTTAGGAAAGGTCATCTATTCTAAGTAAACTTCATAAAGACCGGATGCTGGTGGGAATTTTCTGTTCATCTTTTTCCCCCAGAGGCTGCTCCTCTCATAAGCATTTGTACTCATGCTTTTTATTTTGGAAGATTTTGCTGGTTTCAAATCTGTCCTGAACAAATGTGCTTGAGATTGCCTAAAAAATCACCCACAAGGGTATAAGCAAAAGTCAGAACTACAAAGCACAATATTGGTAAGATTCACTTTACTTACAGAGGACAACTGAGGCACAACAAGGGAAAGCAAGCAACAACAAAACCAAACAAAATCCAGGTAATCAAAACAGAAATGAATTGAAAACTACCTAGGGAGGTATATGTGCGTATGTGTGGGTAAAGACAGTGTAAACAAAGATGAAAAGGAATGTGGCCTAAAGTTTAACAACACTAACTTAACAGTGCTTTAGCTTAACTTATATCTTAATTTATAGTTTAAGTTTAACAATCTAACAGAGAAATCACTTACCAGCATTTAGCCTAAATTATAATTGTAACTTAAGCTAATTTCCATATTTTCTATAGCATATGTGCAGAGGGTATGCAGGCAGACATAGTGCGAGATGAGGTAGCTGTGGAAAAATCTCCCTCAGAACTCAATGAAAATACTCACTTTGGATGCTTTTGAATCTCCTGACAGGAGAAGGGTTGGGCCTTGAGGAGTGAGGGTATCGGACCAGGACACATGGTGGTTCAGTGATCATCCAGGTATGGCAACCCTGGAGTTTTGCTGGCTCTGAGGGGCGTCCCCCTCAGAGGGACATTGCTGGTCACAGGCTCGCTGCGGTCCAGGAGAGCTCAAAGGGCCCATCTTGGACTGCTGTTTGGGTTGCAAAAGAGAATGCTTTAATCATAACAATATTTCATCTTGGCCACGGTTTGGGTCGGCACTTTCTTTGAAAGCGTGAGAATAGGAATGTTATGCCATTCAGGCCAGAGAAATATTTTCCAAGGCTGGTTATGAGAAAAACAAGCTTGTTAGGAGTTCCTGGGAACAGACAGTGTTTCTGATAAGCTCAGAAAGAGCTGAGCCCAGGTAGTGTTTTCAAGGAAAGGCCTAACAAGCATTTCTCAGATCACACTGCAGTCTGGAAAGGAATGGCAGTGGGTGCACCACCACAAAAATCTATGGGAATCATGAAGATAATGTGAAAGTGGTATGACTCCCAACACATTTCAGTGAGCAAGCAACAGCTTTCAAGCCCAGGTTTCACAAATAGCTACCAAGTCTGTTGCATGAGGCCCGTGGCAGCCAGTGTGGTATAGCACCACTCCCTTCAGAGACAGCTTGTGTGTGGAAAGGAATGAGGCTAAGCCAACCTAGGGCAGAGAGAGACAGGACAAAGGAAGCGTGTTGAGAGGCAAAGTGAAGCACAGGGGAGTGTTTGAGCAGTGGTGAGAGGGGAGGTGTGAGTTCTGCTGGCTCCTGGGGTGAGTTTATCACCTTTTGCTGCTCCCAGCCTCACCATGTATTTTCTGGCCCCTAAGGCCTAAAAATATGTAGCTTTGACTGCAGAGGAGTGACAAAAGCCTGTGCTGGGCTTAGTACTATGCCACCACCTTGTGGCTTTTGCCTTTCATTTCTGATATTAAACACAAGCACAGTTCATGGCTTGAAGTTAGGGATATCCTGACACAGGGAAATTTAGGAAGTTATTTGGGAGAGAGTGTGAGCAATCATGCAATTCAGAGCACCAAAATAAAATATTTGTGGGTTTGCCTCTCAGACAATTCAGTGATGGGTTGGGAAGACATACACACTGGGAGTCAGGCGTTCTGAGCTAATGCTTAGAAGGGCTTCACAGATCACCAGAAACTTGTTTTCTCTGAGCAGTAAACATTGCAGAGACTCTAGTTAAAGAACACTGATGGAGTGTAAAGCAGTAGCCAAGCAAGTATAGAACAGCAGGACTGGAATCTGCAGGCTCAGGGCAGCAGGGTCTGTCCCCGATACCCACAGAGGTGGAAGCCTTCTGCTAGAGGGGATGACAGCATGAGTTATGGTGAGTGTACCCCTTTTGTTGGTTCTGAACAATTTGGAATTAATTTAGAGCTAGAAATAAATAAAAAAAAACCTTAAAAACACTTCCAGAAAATGGGATAAACTTGTTTCCTGTTGAAAGGCTGCTGAAATATAATCAGCGATTCCATCACAATTTACTGGGAACAATAACACTAATGCGCTCTAGGAATTGCCAGGAGCCATAATTACTAATGAGCTATAAGAATTAATAAGTTTGATTCTGCTCTCATTGAAATGAAGGCCTTTGTCAGCTGCAGTAGCAAACCATGTCTTAGGCGGTTATTTCTCTGGGAACTATTAATGGGCTTGACTGATCTCATTAGTATATTTGAACAAAGAACAGATATTAAACTAGTTGTTAGATTAGCTATAGATTCTATCCATTGGAGCCCATAGCTTATTGATCCTTCAAAGAGATCCAAGCTCTTTGTAATGTTCAGTGTTGCAATTTGAACTTATCTACCACGGGGGAGGATGACACTTCATTTACTTTGGAGTAGATATGCTGATAAATATTAAACCAGTATCCCTCCAGAAAAGTATGCTCAGGAAGAAGACTGAGAATAGCTGGGTCAGTGTCACAATGAAGAGATCTGAGCTTTTGTTTTTTGCTCGGAAATCTTTTAGCACTTGCAGAGAACAATAAAATATCACAGTCTGCAAAATTATTCTTGTGTTCCAACAGTATAGTATTAGATTCAAAAGTTGTTTCCTTGGATGTGTACACTCGAGATACTTTTGATTTCTCTGTTACTTTAAAATCAAGAACTACAGCACTCTGCTATCTTCCACCTTGGCTTCTGCACCAAAATCAGGAATACCGTAGCAGCTCTTACCTATGCAGAATCAAGTTTCTGTTGGATTTGATTTTTCTTTCTTTGGCAACATTTTCAAATTTGCTGTGTTCCTGACCTTCTGGTGACTGAAAGTGATCCTAGAAAGATGCAAAAAATTTTTCTTCACATGGCTTGAGAAGTCCCCAGTAAGTCGGGATGAACTAAGAGACATAGGAGTGTCCATCCCTGCTTGTGGCTTGCTTGCAGTAGGGCACTCTGCACACATCTTAGTTTTCTACAGTAGAGCAGGAAGGATTTAAAAACATCACCCATGTTATGCCAAAATTCTCCTTCAAGAAACTGAGGTCTTTGTGCGTAATAGTGGTATGCCAGTTGATTCATAAAACTCAGGTAAGTGCTGAACTTCTATCTGTAATGGAAGAAAGGCAAAACTCTTTACTCGGGTTCTATTTCTTTTATACATCTTAATTGCTACTTCCTTGTCAAATCTATAAACTGTGAATTCTTTAAATTTTAATAGTTTAGAAGTTAACGAAGTTAGCTAACTCCTCAATTAATCCTTTTGAAAAGAATAGCAAATATCCTTGAAGAATAGAAAATATCCCTTATTCCCGTTACCACATCAATGCATGTTTTTAATTAAATTTCTTTCAGAGCATGTCTGCTTAGAGCAGGAGCACATACCTTGCACAGCAGCCTCTTTGTCAGCTGCATGTCCCACCCAAATGCTGCCACTTCCCCACTTCCCATCCCACACCAGCACTACAGCAGCCTCTTTGTCAGCTGCATGTGTGATTGTCCCACCCAAATGCTGCCACTTCCCATCCCACACCAGCACACACTCTTCTGAACTGCTTGCTGCTTTCCTTGCAACAGTAAACTGGGGGCTGCTTTCCAACAGATCCCAGTTAAGGTAAGTATTGCTGTGTTTGACATAAACTTGGTTTTCACGTGAGGCAAAGTCCTGCCTTCCAGAAAACCATGGACAGCCTCCAAAAACTCTACACAACAGATTGTGCCAATGATGAAGATCTCTTTAAATATCTGTCTATGTGTACAGCTAGCTAGCTGTCCATACCAGGTGCTTAATGAGAAACTTGTTGAATATTCTACCAGACTCACTAAACCCCTGAGCTCAGTGCAGTGATCCTTTCATCTTCCTCATCAATTGAAAAACCCCTTTTCAGAGCAGTCTCTACAAGAATGGGGCAAGTCTAGAGCAGAATTGTTCAAGAGGACCTCCTTCCCCTCCCTTGCAACAGTGAAGGGCTGAACTCTTGGCATGGGCAGAAGGAGTTCAGTGGGTTTGGATTTGAGCTGTGACATTTCACAATTCTCATGTCAGGAGCCCTTAACACATTATCCCTTTCCAGGAAACTTTTCTAGGAAATTCCCTAGGCTAGACATTCAATTAATTAAGTGATTTGGAAACTGCAAAAGAAGCCTCGTACCCTCCAAGGGTTGCTCCAGTGTGTTCGCTGGCTTCTGAGTTAAACATTATGGCAGGAGACCTTTTCCATTCAACCTACATTAGATTTCTCATGCTGACGACCAGGGACATGCCAAACAAAAATCCAAAACTTGACAGAAAGTGTTACACTACCCAAGGAAGGGATGTATTGCTTTTTGTTCTTCCTTTTCTTTCCACATGCCTCAGTTTGGGTAGCAGGGGTAAACTGAAATATTGATTATAGATAAAAAACTACACTGACCTGAATTTCATACCTAGAAATGTTTTGTATTTTATTCAAAGTACAAGATCCACCAGGGATATACCTGGACTTGAAACTGCGGGACTTAACTCCCTGAATGTGTTTATCTAAAATCTATTTTATCTGGCTGCATTAGCTTTGACTAGGAATAACATGGTAAAGAATTGGACATGCATGGGGAAGGAAGAGATAACTTCCACTTAATGATTTGTGCAGCCTTACTTCATTATTTGAAGACTGTTACTTAAAAAGCCACTGTCTGGGACTGTGAGGAATGGAGATGGGCTTTGCAGATAACCCAAGCTGCTTAAGGAACTGTACACAGTAATGATAAAGACAATGTACCTGTCCTCCACAAACCAGACAGTGCTGCTGGCAAACCCTTTTTTATACACAGCAGTGCAGTCCTGGCCATCAGAGTAGTTAGTACCTTGCTAGGGACTCAACTAACTCCCATGCAAGTTCCAATATTTTCAAGTGGGAGACATTTTCATAGACTGCCTTTGATTCAGCCTTCATTTCTTTTTCCTGTGAATTCTTCAGAGGCTAAAATTAATCTTTTCTTCACAAACAAGGAACACATGCTTTCCCACCACTTTGGGGTAAAAGGGGGCAAAAAGTTCACAGTTTGTTGTGATTTGAATCACATTTGTGACGATGTCTGTAGGAGAAGAGGTCAGGCACCAACCTCTCAGAAAGACCCACTGCCTGGGGGCAAGCCACTCAGTCATCCTCCCACTTTCCCCATGTCCCTAACTAAGAAACAAACACAGTTTTGTGTCATGTAATGACAAATCCTACAAGATATGGCTGGAACTCCAAATTTTCCAAAGGTCCAGAGACCTCTGTTTTTCTTTAGATGAGGTCTAGTTCCTTATAGGCAATGAGGGACTGGTGTGACAGTGCAGTTAGGAGTATTTACTTGACATTTGTATCAAAGCACTGCTGAAAGCAGCCAAAGCCACCTTCTTTCTTGATGCTGAATGTCTTTTTGGTGATGGCAGGACAGGGCTGTGCCAGGTCAGTGCACGCAGGGAGCCATGTCAGCAGAAAAGCTGGACTCCCACACTGGAGTTTCTGCTCAAAGGAGCCTCTTACACTCCAGGAAGCTGCAGGTCATGGACTGCAGCACAGCACTGCAGCTTCTGTCCCTGGCAGAGACAACTGGTGGTGGACTGAACGTGCCACCCTTAAAGCTTACATAATATTTATAGTACAATTAGAATGAACATTTGTCTTGTAATATTCTATTCTAAGAAATGTTTTGTTACTTTTTATGAGCTGTTTTTTTGGTTTTCGGTGGGTGTTTTAGTTTCTTTTTTTTTTCTTCTTGGCATCATCAGAAGAGCCATCTTTGGTGGCATCCGGGTGGTATGACTGTTTGTACAGAATCTTGTGAGGTTTCATCCATCAGAAGATCGTGACTTGCCCCTGCAGATAACAAACATACCAGATTATGCAATTTCTGGGTAGATAATGTTAGCAAATTCTTGATAGCATTGTCTGGCCTCAAATGCAGGAATGGTGTATCAGAAACATGGCAGTAGTTGTAGTCTGGTTTCTTGTTCACATATCTGAACTAAATTTTTCACTAGCATGAATCCATTTGAGACAATATGACTGATTTGTTTCTAAAAAGGATAAGCCTTCAGACAGAGAAAGTAGTTTGCAAGCAGTAAATGCTGACTTGTGGCAGTATCCTACAATAGGTAGGTCCTGGTAGCTGCAAGTGGTTTGTGCTGTGGCAGGATCCCCATCAACATCAGTGTCTCTAATGGAGATGCACAAGACATAGAGCAAGAACATTCACATGTGTGAAGGGCTGGGGACTGGGTGACTGACTTTAGGGAGCAATACAGATATCAGGCACTTCATTTCTGTTGTCTTAGGCCTAAACATACAGGTCAGATGCTATACTTCTAAAATCACCAGGAACATTGCTAGGGAGTAAAGTTATGACGAGTAGTGGAAAAGATCTTGAACCACAGCAGGGTCTGTAACATGCTGTAATTGGGCAAATGGAGTTTGAAACATTTGGGGATTCCTGCTACCATTTCTGCAGCATGGAGTGTGCCTACTTCTCTGCATTTCCCTCTTTGATGCCCTCTGCTGCATGTCCCTGTAGAATGTGCCACTGTTGAATCCTCCTTGGTCTCTTCCCACACAAACCACACAGGTTTCTACTGCACTGCACAAGATGGGGCTGTGAATGATGGCCTGGGAACAATGCTCTCCTGCTCCTGGTGACTCCCACCCAACCTGCTGCTAGGCAAGAGCACCTGGTTTATAAAAGAAGGCCTTGGGTGCATTTGGGGAATTTAACATATTTTGTTGTTTGCAGCAGTTGCTAAACTAGAGGTCAGATAGAAGCTTTCTGGCTGGTGTGCAAGAAAGAGTAAATCACAGATAGGGCATGCTCCCTCACAGGTTGGACAAGAGGGTCTGTGGTGGATGATCCAAATAAGCAAAGTTAAAATCTTCTGAGCATCACCAAGACATATTATCACCTCTGTTAAAAGTCATTCTTGATTATCAGCTAAACAGGGTCAAGTAAGGGACCTACAACAAAGACATCATTACCCTGCAGCTATAGAGAGAGAGATATCACCTGCCTAACTTCCCAGCTAAGAAGAAAACCACCATCCCATGTCAAAGGAAACGGTAATAGGGAGGGGCAAAGCAATCTCACTGCTGAGACAGACCTCAGCTCTGTGGGTGTGAAAATAATGGCACAAAACATAACAGTCTAACTTCCCATTAAAGCAGTTCGCAGCTGGCAAAACGTGTCACATACCTCAGAAAGAGCAGGAGAAATGCTAGAGTACCTTTTGGCCCCCTGCTAGGAGCTGAGTTTGAAGTGGCTCTCCTACTCCTCTCTCCTCCACTGTGTTATGTTCAAGGTCTTGTTTATGGGCAAAAAGAAAGAACACCTTACATACAAGTAAAGCCAAGATTTTATTGTTTATTGAGATCTGCAAAGTATGTAATCTCTAATCCAAATCCAATAGAGAAAAATAAAGAATAACAAGGCAGTTATTCTGCCTTGGAATAGGTCCCTTCCAACTCCCTTCAGAGCTGGAAGGGTCCTATCAGGATCATCTAGTCCAGCTCCTAGCCCTGTACAGGACATCCCAAGAGTCACACTGTGGGCCTGAGAGAATTGTCCAAACACTTCTTGACCTCTGTCAGGCTGGTGCTGTGAGCACTGCCCTAGGGACCCCATTCCACTGCCCAACAACCCTCTGGGTGAAAATATTTTTCCTGATACCCAGCCTAAACCTCCCCTGACACAACTTCAGGCCATTCCCTCAGTTCCTGTCACTGGTCACCACAGAGCAGAGTTCAGTGTCTATCCCTCCTCTTCCCCTCATGAGGGAGTTGTAACCGCAGTGAGGTGTCCCCTCAGTCTCTTCCAGGTTGAACAGCCCAAAATACCTCAGCCACTCCTCGTGTGGACCTCTTCACCATCCTCATTGCCCTCCTTTGGACACTCTAATGATTTAATGTCTTTCTTACACTGTGGCACCCAAAACTGTCCCCAGCACTCGAGGTGAGGCCACCCCAGTGCAGAGCAGAGCAGGACAATCCCCTCCCTTGCCCGGCTGTTCATGCTGTGCCTGATGCCTCCCAGGACAGGGCTGGCCCTCCTGGCTGCACGGGCACTGCTGGCTCATGTTCAACTCACCACTGACCAGGAGCCCCAGGTCCCTTTCTGTAGTAATTACATATCTTCTGAACAGAGAGAGACATAGTTCTCCCAGGAAAATCCTGGGAAGCTGTGTAAAAACTATAAGAAACTTAGACAAAAATAATTCAAACAATTATTATCTCTCTTTCTCTAACCATTGTTTATAGGTATGGTTCTCCAAAGTGTACTATTCATAGTTCAACAATAGCATAGATGTTTCACTTTGAGACCAATCAAGTATCACCTTAGTGAGTCACATTATAAAAAGACCTGCTACTTTTATTAAACACTTTTACCTACTGATCCACCTGAAGACTGGAGTCTTCTTTCCGTCCCTGATTCAACAGCATCATCTTTCCATGGCAGTGCTTTCCCAGCCTCTCCTTCCCCAGTCTGTGTTTTCATCCAGGGTTGTCCTGGCCCAGGTGCAGAGTCCAGCCCTTGCCCCTGTTGAGCTTCATGCAGCTGGTGATTGTCCAGTCCTCTCATTTGTCCAGGGCCTCTCTGCCCTCA